TTGACGGCAAGTATGTGGAATGCGAACGGCAGAAGCGTGCGAGGTGATGAGACGAAGGGGCGTACAGAGGGAAGGTTGGGAAGGAGGCGCCATTGGGAGCTTCAAGTGGCTCCGAAGACGGTATTCGAGAAATGCAAGTGCAGGAATCTCAAGAGGCCACTGTGCCCCAAAACACACCACTGACAAATGGTTGGAACACCAATACAGACATATTTAGCGACTGAGATTATTTGACATCGTGTCACTTTGTACAGCTTTGGGCTTGTTTGAGACCACGCCCTGAGTGTGGGCACATGGGAAGGGTGTCTTGTGAGGCAAGGAACAACGCGATTGGTGAACGTAATCTCGTACTGCGCTTTTCGAATTACACAGTGCGGGGCTCGGCGAAAATCCCAAGTTGATGCGGCGCTGAGGAACTGGCGCGAGGTGAGCGCAGTTGGCGCCTTCGGTAAGGGTGCTCGCAGGTGGGGCAGGTGCGGCTGGAGGTTCAGAAGCGCCCCAGCGCGAATTCGCCCACAGGTTTTTGGAATCCTTGAACCAAATCACTGTGTACTACTGTACTGTTTGAATGAACCAGGCTTGATGGGCGTAGCATGTGCTTTGATGGGCTAGGCTTGACACGTCAATCTTGTGTGTAGTGACTACCTGGGCAGCTTATGTGTGAAATAACTATTGGCTGGAGTATCGTAAAGCCGTTTCCCAAGCTACTCTTGGGCCTTCAATCTGACGATTTCTTTGCCACGAAAGGACCAATCGAAAACTCATTCACATGACATGCACACGACAGAACCATCTAGTCCACGCTCTCAGAGACCATTCATGACGTGGCAGCATACCCAATCATCCACCTTATGGTTGCACCAGACAAAGGAGACGGATGTACGCGTTAAAGTTTATCGTAAGATTTATAGTCCAAAGGCACATATTCATATGAAGCAAGTGAACTACCAAATCATTTTCCAAACCGCTTTCAGCAAGAACACATTGAATCGTTCTCAATGTGATTTTTATTTGAAAATAGGCATTTAAAATACTCAAGTCCGTTAATAGCCTCATTCTCCATAAACAATTCATTTGGACCATATAAATGTATTTCTAAATCGACCTTATAAACCATTAGGGTCGTGTAGCTTGCGATTCCTGATGGACCCGAAACAGGAGGAAATCTCCGTCCACACGCAACACCGCCGGCACTGATCCATCATCAGAGTTCGTCAGACAGTCACTAGGTAGTATATCTGCTAACTCCGCGCTCGGCTATGAAGGTGCGAGATTTCGCGTCCCGAGCAGATTCCGCGTCCCGACCCCAGTCATAGTTGACGCTACGTACTTCATAGCCTCCCTTACGACGTCATTGCAGAATTCAGTCGTAGAAAAATCCACATAATCTTTAACAGCGAATTACCTACTCAATCCATTATCTCAGCGAGTTGGCCTTCGTGGCCTCTCCGTTCATCTAGCCGCGTAGCGAGCCTTAGCTGGTCGTGCGAATGGCTTCAGCCACGGTTGTCCTTGGAGCGACGGGCCTTTCCTCTCCAACTCTAGGGATCTCCTCCAAGACTTCATGCATTCAGGCGACTCGTGGAAATTCGCCACGTGTCGCTGCTTCCAGAGCCCAGCTAGGCTGTAGCTTGATTCGCCAGCTCCCTCCATCACTTCACCACTGGTCAACGAGTCAACGCGCGCCTCAGTCAACGAGTCAACGGCAAGTTCGTCCAGAAAGGCGGGTGCACGGGCGCAGGCCTGCCTTCGTCCGCGCGGCTAGCAGTAACGATAATTCGGCAAATGAGGCCTTGAGATTGCCGACGTCGCCGTCTACCTCGGCAACTCCACTTGCAGCGAGAGCTATTCCTGTGTCCGATGTTACTCCCGTCGCCATTTCCATTCCCGTCGCACAAGCCGCCGTGATCCCCGCTGCGCAACCGCAGGACCAACCCTCCGTTAAATCGTTTTCTAACCATTTCAACTCATTTCTCCTGAAGTTCATTCCACTCTTAACAAATCTAAGATCCCTCAGTCGCGACGCGCTCGCCTCGCTTCTCGCTCTCCTCCGCTCGCTCAACCTCCCCTCGTTAGAGTCACAACTCGCATCCGTTACAGTCAAGCCCGCATTTCTCACCTTCGCCGTCTGCCTGCTCCTCGCCGCGTCGCTCCCCGGCGTCGCTCACGCCGCGAAATCCGGCGGGCGCGTCGGCGGAAGCGCCTTCTCGTCCTCCTCTTCCTCCTCCTCGCGCTCCCGCTCGCAATCGCGCTCCGGCCCATCGCAATCCTACTCCTATTCGAACCCCTCCTCTTCCTCTTCGTACCAATCCCGCCATTACTCCGCCAACCCCTCGCGGAACTTCTTCTTTGCGCCATCTGCGCCCTTCTTTGCCCCTTCCCCCTTCTTCGGGGGGTGGGGGGGCGGATGGGGCGGGGGATGGTCCCCCTTCGCCCTGCGCCCCGCCGTAACGATTAACATGGGGGGAAGGAGTGGCGGAGGAGGGGGCGCGTTCGGGACGATATTTAATCTCCTGGTGTTTGGGATGGTGACATACGCGTTAGTGCAAACGGTTCGAGGGTTTCTGGGACAGTGGGAAGAGGACAGGGAGCTGGAAGATGCAGAGCGGTGCAGTGTGGTGCAGCTACAGGTGGGTGCAGAGCGGTGCGGTGCGGTGTTCCTATTCCCAGGGCCTTTTTCGTTCGCTATTTTTAAATTGCACATTCGTCATTGTCAGACGGAGTTGCCAGAATGTGTATTCCTGATCGTAATTAGAATCTTTTTAGGAACTCAGTAGTAATCAAGTGAATTCGCTGCATTGCCCCCCACGTGAATTTAGTGAGTGAATTCGAGACTGGTTAGTAAGTGAATTTATTACCCATCCTACCCCACGTGGCAGGTTGGGTTGCTGGGGGCAGCGCGCAGGCTTCAAGCTGACTTGGAGAGAATAGCAGACAGGGCGGATGTGACATCCCAAGATGGGCTGCACTACCTGCTGCAAGGTGTGTGAAGCATGTGTGAATAGACGAAGTATCTAACTGTGGTTGCTGGGGGCAGCAGGAAGGCTTCAAGCTGACTTGGAGAGAACAGCAGAAAGGGCGGATGTGACATCCCAAGATGGGCTGCACTACCTGCTGCAAGGTGTGTGAACCGTGTGGTGTGGTGTGGTTGCACATTCGCACACAGAGTCTACATCTATCACATGCATGAGATTATAACACATGAATGCTGGTGCGGTGCGGAGAGAACAGCTGGAAGGGTCTTGTTTTGAGGCGCCTCAAAACAAGATTCGCACACAGAGTCTATGTGTATCACATGCATGTGTATATATTGCATGAATGCTGGTGCGAAGAGGTGAGCTGGAAGGGCGGACGTGACTTCCCAAGATGGGCAGATGTGACATCCCAACATGGGCTGCACTACCTGCTGCAAGGTGTGACCTTTGAGAACCCTCAAAGGTGTGAGCCGGTTCAAAAGTGCACATAGCGCACTGGTGGATGTTGATGGGAAGGGAATAGCTGCATGGGCAGATGTGACATCCCAAGATGGGCTGCACTGCCTGCTGCAAGGTGTGAACTGGTGGTGTGGATTGGGTATACACACACAATGCACACACGGGGTGGGCATATGGTGTACATGTGTGTGCGGGGGAGGGAGGTGGGGAAGAAAGGAGGGGGGGGGTTGCGTGCTTGCATGCGGGCGTGTGTGCATTGTGTGATTGCTGTTCAGGGAAAAATAACAGAGCGAGCGGATGTGACGTCCCTGGATGGGCTGCACTGTGCAAATTAAGTTCTGGTATTAAGTTACTCATTCCCCCGGATGGGCTGCACTGTGCAAATTAAGTTCTGGTATTAAGTTACTCATTCCCCCGGATGGGCTGCACTGTGCAAATTAAGTTCTGGTATTAAGTTACTCATTCCCCCGGATGGGCTGCACTGTGCAAATTAAGTTCTGGTATTAAGTTACTCATTCCCCCGGATGAGCTGCACTACTTGCTTGCTGCAAGGTTCAGAGCTCCCCCCGCATCTTTTGCATTCCTCACCAACTCCTCTCCCTCTCTGCCTCTCTGTTACCCCCACCACCTGAAACCACCCCTTCCAACCCATTTGAACCCATCTTCAGAGACCATTCTTGCTCTCCTGCGTCATCCTGACTACTGCGTCTATGGATTCTCCTCTGTACGCATCTACTCCATACACCCTCTACCATGTGACACATTTTGTAACACTTTGGTTATACCTTGTTTCGTTTTTTTTTTTTTTTTTTTTTTTTTTTGTACCACGTTGGGTGGAGGGTCAGTACGAATTTCATATATTTTTCCCACCGCTCCAGTCCGCTGTGCACCGTGGTGCCACCGCTGGTGAGACCACGTTCAACTGGGAGCGGAGAAGAATACTTGATATTAAATCCCATCCTTCTTTTTTGCCTGCTCCCTGCAACAACACCATTCTTGTCTACTGTGTACCGCGATGCCAACGCTGGTGAAACCGCATTCAGCCGCGTTCAACTGGGCGAGTATGGAGGAGGCAAAGAAGTGTGTCCCTTTCACCCCTCTGCCCCCCTTTCAACTCCTCTTCCCTCCTTCGAACCATTGCAGAGTGCTGTGTACCCCAATGCCAATTCTGGTGAGACGGCATTCAACCGGGCGAGCATGGAGGAGCGGAGAAAGTTCCAGGAAGAAACGGTGGTGAACGTGGGGGGCGGCATGGCGAGGAGGAGGAGGGGAGTACGCACGGTGCAGCAGGAGGGGAGCGCCACTGAGTATATTGTGGTGAGTGTGGCCTCTCTCCCTTCAGGAATTTATGCGTTTCGAGCCTCCAGGCTTTTCTCCTGCACGGTGCAGCAGGAGGGGAGCTCCACCGAGTACATTGTGGTGAGTGGGGTGGGGGGCTCGGTGGGTTGGGCTGTCTTGTATGTGAGTCTGGCTTCAAGACAGCATGGCAGAAAAGGAGGGGGGCACACACGGTGCAGCAGGAGGGAGCGCCACCGAGTACATTGTGGTGAGTGGGGTGGGGGCTTCATGCGGGCCCGACTTGTGAGTCGACTCAAAAGGCGTCCGCACGACGCAGTGCAGCAGGAGGGGAGCGCCACCGAGTACATTGTGGTGAGTGTGGGCTCAGTGCTTGTCATGAAGAAGAGCAACAGTAGGAGGGGATGTCTTAGCAAAAGACGATAGTCTCTCTAGAAAATATTGTAACCCTTTGAAGTTTGAGTAAAACGCGAAAGTACAAGCTCAGATGTAGTTTGAGGAGAGGGGCACGCACGGTGCAGCAGGAGGGGAGCTCCACAGAGTACCACGATGTGGTATTCAGTGAGAGAGGGGTGGGGCGTGTATGGAGCTTCAACGAGTGCATCATGGTGAGTGGGGATTCATTTGTTTTTTTACGGCTGACTAAGTCCTGCACTATACGCCAGTAAGCATTTCTGTATCAGCCATTTCAGCTGTTGGTCCCTTTCCCCTCCACGGCTGTCATTATCCTCCTCACCAATCTCTAATTCTCTGATATATGTGCTTTTTTTTTTCTTTTTCTTTTTTTTCCTTCATTGATCATGTTCGGGCAGGTGACCATCACAGCAGCGTGTGAGGGGACCCTCAACCTGCCCGAAGTAAAATCCGCAGCTTCTTTGAAAGAGGCGCTTGCGAGACTGGGCTCGATCCCCATTGACGAGCTTCAGGTGAGAGAGAGGGAGATGGGAGTGAGGTGAGCAGGTGTGAGAGAGAAAGATGGGAGAGAGATGAGCAGATGTGAGAGAGGGAGATGGGAGCATCCAACCACCCCGCCGCGAAGCCGAGTTCAATTTTCTCATCCGCCAAGCAACCCTCCCAGTGGCCCTAGGTGGACTGGGCCTCACGGATCCCACAACAGAAGCAGCACCAGCCTACCTGGCCTCAACGACAGAGGCACTACGCCTGCTCCGCTCACTCGACCTGCCAGCAACCGCGGCGCTAGGGAGCAACAGCAACGCCCTGCAGCCGTCTGCGGCACACTCAGTCACCATCCAAGACATGGAGGGACGACTGCCGCCGCTGGCGCTGCAATACCTCCGTGAGGAGCAAGAAACCCCGTCCCAAGGCCAGCTGCAGCGGGCCCTCTCTCAGGAAGTGCACGCGGCAAAGGCCGACACCCTGACAGAGGAATCACGCTCAATCAGGTCAGCCCCCGAGATGGGCCACACGCTCCGCCTCGTCAGCCTGAGAGGCGAGGGAGCGGGAGCATGGCTGCAAGCCCTACCCCTGACCCCAGACCTCTGCTTCTCACCAGGGCAATTCCGAACAGCCCTGGCCTTCCGAATGGGCATCCGACAGAACGTACCTACCATGTGCGAGTGTGGAGAGCTCGTGGCCGACTGCAGCCTACCCAACCACCTACTCCGCTGCAGCACAGGCCCGGACAGAACGCGCACACACAACCAACTGGCCTTTGCCGTGGCAAAAATGGCGAGGGAGGCGCAGCTGGTGGTATACCTGGAGAATGCAATGTACTCACCACCGGATGACCCGAAGAAGGCCGATGTGATGGTGCGTGACCCAGACAGTGGAGAGACCTGGATCACAGACACGACTATCACCGACCCTGTGCTACAGAACCGGGACCCCACAGCCCGCAAACCCCCAGGCTGGGCTGCGAGGGAGGCACAGAGGCGGAAGGAGAGGGACTACTACAGGCACACCGAACACGTGGTGTTCTGCGCCCTGGCCGTCGAGACATACGGGGCAAACGCGCCCCCCACGACAGCGTTCCTTAAGCTGCTGGCCACAGCAGCGGCTAGGAACAGGTTCAGGGCCAACCCCTTGGCCAAATCGGCCAAGAAGATGGCCTGCCACTTCAGCCAACGCTGGTCAGTGGCCCTCCAGCGCTCCCAAGCGAATGCCCTGCACACCAAGGCCAGGGCTGGGATCGAGGCAGCGCACCCCCAGATGGCAGCGGACCCCTGGCCACTGCACCTGGGGGACATCCTCCACACGCTGGAGGGCTAGAGGGTCACGCAGGGGGGGGGGGGGGGAAGAGGGGTGAGCTAAGGGGCTTAAGGGAAGGAGGTTATCATGGATTGCACTGCATGTTTTTGTACCCCTGCTGATTCAATACAAAGGACTGTTTGAGAGAGAGCGAGAGGTGAGTGGGCAGTGGGGCAGGGCAGGTGAATGAGGGTCTATGTTATGTGGACCGTCCTCTTGGCTCTCTTGATTGTTCTTACGTTTATGAATCTTCCCGCTACCTGCCTCTACCTGCCTCTACCATAATAGATTGCCTTTATACCGCTCTGTACCGCTCTCCACTGCAGGGTGTGGAAGTGCTGTGGACGCCACAAGACCCATCTGATTCGCTGACAGCGCATGACATTCTGAGTGACTATCCTTCCATGCGCATGCTATAAAGTGACTCGTTTGAAGGTGTCCCGGTACAAGGTTATCGTAGCGTGCGGCTTGTCGGCAGCGCTGGGTTTCTCAGTCTACAAGAGGACTTGTTTGCATTGCCCGGCCATGACATTCAGGGACGATTCTGACATGCCGCTATCATTGTGAAACAAGTGTATATTGTTCGTTCCCTTCTACCACCCACATTACAGCAATAAAATTCAATCGTTATGTACAGTAATACGAACCAACTATAACGGTTGTGGCAAAGCATCACTGTAGCCAGCGTCCACTAGGCACATGATAAAGGCTTGGTCATGAATGAGCCTCTACATCACATCACAACAAAGGTGGCAAGGCAAGGTGTCACTGTAGCCAACATCCACGAGGCACATGATAGAGGCTTTCTGACAAATGAGCCCCTATACGGTACCGCATCACAACAACGATGGCAAGGCAAGGCGTCACTGTAGCCAACGTCCACGAGGCACATGATAGAGGCTTTCTGTCAAATGAGCCCCTATATCGAATCAACGGTGGCAAAGCGTCACTGTAGCCCACGTCCACAAGGCACAGCCCTGCAGCATTGGGGACAGTGGAGCGCCTCTCCCCTGTTGCTGCCAACTTCAGCAATCATTACGTCCTAACGGAGGTGGCAAGGCGTCACTGTAGCCCACATCCACGAGGCACAGCCCTGCAGCAGGGGCAGGGGGGGTTGTGGACCGCCCGCCTCTCCCCTGTTGCCGCCAGCCCTAGCATACTATAGCATATTTCATTATAGCGGAGGTGGTAAAGCGTCACTGTAGCCCACATCCACGAGGCACAGCCCAGCAGCAGGGGCAGGAGGGGCTGTGGACCGCCTCTCCCCTGTCGCTGCCAGCCTCAGCAGACAGTTGTCACCTCCCCCTGCAGCTGCCTCCCTCACTGCTGTCGCCACCAGCACCCGCACCATCTGCATAGAAAAAAAAAAGAGGGAGAGGTGAGAGGAGGGGTCAAGTGCGGTGAGTATGGGTGAACGCAAACATGCCAAAGTTGGGAGGCACGGTTGTCACCTCCCCCTGCTGCTGCCTCTCTCACTACCGTTGCCACCAGCACTCGCACCATCTGATTGGTCGGGAGGCACAGGAAAACAGGGTGAGCTCAAATGTCATTCTTGACCCGATGAAGATTGCAGTGTGCCTTGATTAAAGCATTTGTTGGCAAACAAAGTTATGAAAGGAGCGTGCCTGTGGGGAGTGTGTGTGTGCATGTGTGTGTGTTTTGGGAAGGTGGGGGAGGTGGTGAAAGAGGGGGAGGTGGGAAGGGGGGGGTTGATCCATTGCTGCACACGTACCCGTCGCAAGAATCTGTCTCCCACCAGCTCTACGCACAGCACACGCGAGAATCCTGCTGCTGAAGATTGTCCTGTATTTTCTGCTGCTCCTCCTGCTCTTGCTGCTCCTGCTGCTCCTGCTGCTCCTGCTGCTCCTGTTGACACGCCCTCTGAACAGTCCTCTGCAAATGCTGTTCTCACTGCCCCTGCTGCTCCTGCTCCCCCTGCAAGTGTTGCTCCTGCCCCTGCCAAACCAGCTTTCTCTGCAGCAACCGGCAAGCGCGCTTCAAAGGCTCGTGCTCGCAAGATGTTGCACACTGTAGCGGATCCGCTAATAAAGGGAATAGTGGGGGAACGCAACGTACAAGGAGCAAGACCATTTGGGGAGCCATGATTGCTGGTGGGCGTGAAAAATCGCCTCACTTTTTGCGGGTAGGGTAGGTCTCAAGAGCATGACAAATGCTTACGACATGCATGGAAACGTCTCCACTCCACTCCACCACATGTCATGCATGCACTTCACTTCCGCGCCCCACCTCCCCACTGCATGCCCTTCACACACACCCACGTGCTCGTCACACGTCCTCTTCCATCCTCCCCTCCTCACCTCCACTCCTCACCTCCCCTCCTCACCTCCCCTCCTCACCGCCCCTCCTCACCTCCTCTCCTCACCTCCCCTCCTCACCTCCGCTCTCACCTCCCCTCCTCACCTCCCCTCCTCACCTCCCCTCCTCACCTGCCCTCCTCACCTCCCCTCCTCACCTCCCCTCCTCACCTCCCCTCCTCACCTCCCCTCCTCACCTGCCTCTGCCAGCAGCCGTGTCACGCGCAAACGCCCAGAAACAGGCGGGGCCATGGGCGCGTGCATGGGTCTCCAGAGTATGTAGAAGAATGCGACTCTGGATAGTTGCTGGACGCTTCACTGCTCACACACACACACACACACACCCACACACCCACTCACACACACACACACACACACACACACACACACACACACACCTCCCCTCTCACCTGCCTCTGCCAGCAGCAGTGTCGCGGGCGAACGCATGGAAGCACGTGGGGCCACGGGCACATGTATGGGTGTCCAAAGCATGCAGGGGAATGTGCACCCACAACCACCACCCCACCTACTCCACCTCCCATTCCCTCCTCACCTGCCTCTGCCAGCAGCAGTGTCGCGGGCGAACGCACGGAAGCAGGCGGGGCCATGGGCGCGTGTATGGGTCTCCAGAGCATGGAGCAAGGTGTGCACTCGGGGCACATGCATGCACGCTGGCTTGAATGGTGCAGCTCCATTGCTGCTGCCAATAAGGCTGCTGCTGCTGCTGCTGCTGCTGCTGCTGCTGTGGTTGATGCTGCTGGTGCTGGTGTATGCTGCTCGAGGCACATGCATGCACGCTGGCTTGAACGGTGCAGCTCCATTGCTGCTGGGAAAGCTGCTGTCCATATGTCTGCTGTTGCTGCTGCTGCTGCTGCTGCCCCTGCTGCTGCTGACGCTATTGCTGCTGCTGCCATGTCGACCGATACAGCATGACTTTTGAGTCGACTCAAAAGTCACCTTGCTGCTGCTGCCATGTCGACCGATACAGCAAGTCAGGCATTTAGTGCTCGCGAAGCAATAAGTTGCCTGAGGAACACGCGTATCGCTGCCATTAACATGCCCCCCCCTCAAATCATCGGCAGCAGCAGCAGCAGCAGCACCGCCACCACTTTCACCCCCCACACGCTGCACTCTCATCGCCTCTTGGGATGACCCAAAAGGCGCTTCTCCCAAAGAAGGTTCTCCCGTGAATCTCGCATCGTAAGGGTCCGTAACAGCCACACATGCCGTCTCAACACGGGCACACGAATCGCATACACCACCCGCAATAATCCCCTGTCTTTCCTCCGCTTGTCCATTCTCCTCCCACCTTGCCACATCCCTTCCCTCACCATCCCCACTCTTCTCCACCATCCCTTGCTCCATACACGAAGGCGCAGCATGAGGCAATCGCCAAGTAGTGTTCTCAACCGCGCTCAAACCCTCCGTTTGTAAGACCTCTGAACCAAGAGGCAAGGCACGTGGACTGCATTCCAGCCCTCCTTTCAAGTCAGCTATCCTTCCATCAAACACACTCCTGCCCTCCGGTTGTAGGGCCTCCGAGCCAAGAGGCAAGGCACGGAAGCCACTCCGAGCCAAAAGGCAATCCGAACCTGTTTCAAACTCTGATCTCCCTGTGCCATTCGGTCTCTGGACGCAGGCACACCGCTGTGTGGGGGAATGCCTTGCCTCCTGCTCTACAGCGCAGAGGCAGTGCTGCCTTGACTCAGCGCACCCCTCCCACGGCAGCGTGCCCATCGCCGCTCCCGCCGTGTGGGAGAAGTGCGCAGCGCACTCCTCCCACGGCAGTGTGCCCATCCCACGGCGCTGCTCTACAGCGCACTCCTCCCACGGCAGTGTGCCCATCCCACGGCGCTGCTCTACAGCGCACCCCTCCCACGGCAGCAGCGGCAGCAGGTAGAGGTATCGGCGCCAGCGAGCGGAGAATTGAGGGTGGAAAGAGCGTGGGACCTGAGGAGCAGGGAGGGAGGGAAAGGGAACGGGAAGAGAGAAAGAGAGCAGAAGCTGTCGTTGCAGAGATTTGTGGTTGGAAGGAGCGAGGGACCTGAGGACAGGAGGGTTAAGGAGAGAGAGAGAGGCCATTCGAGTGAGATCCAGGGAGTTACTTTTGAAATTTCTCAAAAGTGGTACAAGAACCTTCCACGTTTCTGGTGGGGGGTTTCACTGCAGCAGCGACTGCAACCGCCCCCCCTCTCTCAAAGTGAAATGCAGTGGGATACCCCCCACACTACCTTGGAAATGCAGTGGGATACCCCCCACACTACCTTGGAAATGCAGTGGGATACCCCCCACACTACCTTGGAAATGCAGTGGGATACCCCCCACACTACCTTGGAAATGCAGTGGGATACCCCCCACACTACCTTGGAAATGCAGTGGGATACCCCCCACACTACCTTGGAAATGCAGTGGGATACCCCCCACACTACCTTGGAAATGCGGATAACTCTCAGGCTTCCGTCAGTCGCTGCATCAACAGCCGCAGCTACCGCTGTGAGATCAAGGGGTTCCTTCCACGTGTCTGGTGAGGCAGGGAGGAAGAGAGAGTGGGAGAGAAAGGGCGGGAGAAAAGAGGGCAAGAGCGCGTGCTTTGACAGACAGAGAGGGAAAAGAAGGGGCAAAGGAAACAAAAACGGGTTGACTTTTGAGTTGACTGAAAAGTCAAGGGGCGGGAGAAAAGAGGGCAAGAGCGCGTGCTTTGACAGACAGAGAGGGAAAAGAAGGGGCAAAGGAAACAAAAACGGGGAAAACATGCACGCATGGACGGGCATACACACACAAAAAGAGACAGCAATGGCACATAAGGAAGCAAAGGAGAGTCACGAAAAGCACACACTTGCCCTGCTGCATGCACGCCCTTGTGAGACGTCTCAAAAAGTTTGTCTCAAAAGTGAGTCAACTCAAAAGACACGGCAGAGCCACTCACAAAAAGCACACAATTGCCCTTGTCCGTCCTCCCCGCCACCACCACACAAGGCACCGCTACTCATACAAGGCAGCACCACTCACACACAGAAAGAAGGAAGAAGAAAGGGCCACTCACGGAAGGCACACACTTGCCCTGCTGCATGCACGCCCTTGTCCATCCTCCCCGCCACCACCACTGCTGCCCTTATAACCCCCAACCCTTCCTCCTTATCACACACAAAGATCCCAACACAGCAAAGCTAAGGAGTGATCATAGAGAAAGAGACTCACGGAAGGCACACACTTGCCCTGCTGCATGCACGCCCTTATCCGTCCTCCCCGCCACCACCACTGCTGCCCTTATAGCCTTCAGCCCACCCTCCTTGTCCCACTCCACTCTCAGAATCCCCAAGTCCCCATTCTCATGCCCCTCCTCCCTTCGCTTTTCCTGCCCCTCCTCCCTTTGCTTCTCCTGCCCCTCCTCCCTTTGCTCCTCCTGCCCATCCTCCATCCGCTTCACCCCTCTCTTCTTCTCTCGACGCTCCTTCCATGCCTTGCTGCCGCCCTGCCCTCTATCCCTCCCCTTCTCCTGCTTCTTCGGGTGGCTCTCGCAGAAAGGGGCCAGGGCGGACTCTAGCGTGCTGGTGGTGGGGAAGGACGGGCGAGAAGTGAGGAGGGGGGAGTGAGGGAGGAGATGAACAAAATAAGGGGCTCCCCATTTAAGTGGCTCTTGCAGAAAGGGGCTAGGGCGGACTCTAGAGTGCTGGCAGGGGGGGAAGAACAGGGGGAAAGGGAGGTACGACGGGTGGTTGAAGAGAAGGCGTAGGTGCCAACGCACCCTTCTCCGCTCTCTTTCCTTCCATGCCATGCTGCCGCCCTGCTCTCTCGCCTTCTTCATCTGCTTCTTACGGTGGTGCTCGCAGAAAGGGGCTATGGTGGAATCTTAAGTGCTGGTAAGGGCAGGGGTGGGAATGGGGAAAATGGGGGCCAATGGGGGACAAAAAGAAGTTGGAGAAGGTGGGAGGAGTGTGAATACCTCCTAACCCAACCCCACCCTTTATCCTCCTGGTTTCGTGCTGTGACCCTCCCACTCCGACCCTCCGCTCCTGCTTCCCACAACCACACAGTAAACCACCACACACCACCACCCATTACTACACAACACCGCACCACACACCACTGCTCCCTGTTGAAATTGATATCAATGGAACGCTCCTCCATCGTATGCCACCCACCACCAGCTGCACCTGGTAACCCATCAGCCCCCCCCATCACATACCTCTCCACCGCACCTTACCACACAGTAGCACCGCACCATACCTCTGCACCGTGACTGCTCCCTGCTGGCTCTGGTACCCATGAAACGCCCCTCCATCGTATGCCACCACCAGCTGCACCGTGCACCTGGTAACCTATCACACTGCACCCCACCACACAAAACCGCACAGCACCGCACACCACCGCACCATACCATACCTCTGCACTGTGACTGCTCCCTGCTGGCTCTGATACCCGTGGAAAGCCCCTCCATCGTATGCCACCACCAGCTGCACCGTGCTGCGCCCCTCCCATGCTCCCCCGAGCTGCCTTTTTCACACAACCACACACTACCACACCACACTGTATCCCACCACACAGCACTGCACCATACCATACCTCTGCACGGTCACGGCTCCCTGCTGGCTCTGATACCCATGAAAAGCCCCTCCATCGTATGCCACCACCAGCTGCACCGTGCTGCGCCCCTCCCACGCTCCGTCCTTGCCTCCTTGAGAAGACTTCTTCCCACCACCAGCACCAGTAGCAGCTGCAACTGTAGTAGTCTCAGCTGCAGCAGTTTCACTTGAAGCAGCAGTAAAATCGGTAGGCACGCTTTGTTGCTCTGCTGCACTCCGCTTATCAGCTGCTATCTCCTCATGATTATCAAGCATCGTTTTGGACAAATCAGAGAGCGCCACGTGTCCTGCTGCCAGGCTGGCATAGAACGCGTGCACTGCTTGCCACGGGCGGTTCTGCAGATGGGCTGTGCACAGCCTGACCAAAAAAAAAAAAAGGGGGGGGGGGGGGGGGCGGGGTGGGACGGGGTGGAAATGGGGTTGGGTTGGGAGGGGATGGTTTTGAAGCGCCTCAAAGAACGCGTGCTTTTTGAGTCGACTCAAAAGGGGTTGGGAGGGGATGGCTTTGAAGCGCCTCAAAGAGCGCGTGCACTTCTTGCCACGGGCGGCGGTTCTGCAGATGGTCTGTGCACAGCCTGAGGGGGAAGGGGTGGGGGGAAAGGAGGGGAATTGAGAGGGAAGGGGTGGGGGGAAAGGAGGGGAATTGAGGGGAAAGGGGTGGAGGGACAGGAAGGTGGATTGAGGGGGAAGGGGAAGGGAGGGGGAAGGGAAGGGGAAGGGTGAGGAGGAAGGTGGGGAGTTGGGAGAGGGAACACAAACACTGGCCCATGGTTCTTTCTGTGGATGAGTTGCGCACAGCCTGGTAGGGGAAAGAGGGGAGCGGGGAGAAGGGGGAGGAAGGGGGGGAAGAGGGAGCGGATGGGCGGAACACAAACACTGGCCCATGGTTCTTTCTGCGGATGAGTTGGGCACAAGCAGTGAAGGGGAAGGAGGGGAGGGGGGAGCGGCGGGGATGGGATGTGTGGTGGGAGGGCGGAGGAGGGGAGGGAGGTGGATGGGGGGGAGGGGAGCCAGGATTTAGGGCACACCTGGAGGACCAGCGGAACGAGAGGGGGAAGGGTGGCGGGGTGGGGAAGTAAGGGGGAAGGGGGAAGAAATTGGTACCAGGGTTGACCAGGGTTTTCGAGGTTAGGGCGCACCTGGAGGACCAGCGGAAAGGCGCAAGTTCGTCCGTGTGGCGGAGCATTTCCTTCCCCCGGCTGTCATTCCACAACTTGTACGCGCAGGGCGCGATGCGCGCGGGGGGAGGATCCGCGGTATCTACAGTAGTCGCAAGCGGAACATCCGCGGACGACTGCATTTCTGAAGTCAGCGTGGCAATGTGACACCGCGGTCTCAGACAGGTCAGCGCTGCAATCCGGGACAGCTTATAACGAAGCGTGAACTACGACTGTTCCTACGAGTGAAGCTGGCTCCAACGTTTCTCGTGCGGTAAAGCACGGTTCCTGTCGGTCACTTGAAAGCATGCATCGACTTGAAGGGCGCGTTCCCTCCTCCTTGAGTCAATGCGAAGTGTTACATGGAACTTTTTGTGACATTACCGTTGTACTGCGACTGCTCCGATATGCTTCGATTAAAACAGATCCTCTGGAGTGTGCACCGGGTGGGGGATAAATAGTTTTACGTAATGAAGATACGGACAGTTCACTCTGGGTTTACACTGAAAGGTAATTGTCATCACGGCTACCCGTCATTGTACATGTACCGGTATGATTAGCTAGATGCATTTCCTTGGCATAAGATACCCCTACTGGTAGCACTTATTTTGAGCAAAAGTTTTCAAAAAAACCGAGCAGGACGCGACACACCACTTATTTAGAGTTCACCCAAACTAACGACACAGGTATTAAAATCTTATTGATGGCATATTCAGCATGCCAATGCATGCACCTGTCACATGCAGAAGCAGGGAAAAGGGCGTAAACAGGAGTGGGCGGGACAATGTGAATGGAATGTTCAACAGACTACACGTTATGAATTATTAACACGAAATGCTGTGCACATAATGCCGTGCAGGAAAAATCAATCATACCTTTTGATAGCGCAGTGCTGGTTTTAAGGGCTGCTGAGAGCATAGGTGTCATATAGGTATTTGACAATTGCTGCACTCTCAAACATCTTCACTCCTGTGTTAGGGTCTTCAAGGTAGGGCGCCTGAGAACAGTCAAGAAGGAACAGGTAGGAACACAGAGAAAGAGGAATCAAATACCGCTGCACAATAGCTGCACTCTCAAACATCTTCACACCTGTGTTAGGGTCTTAAAACCGAATGTGGCCGGTTTTCTTCGTAAGCACACGCTGCCTGACCGTACTTGAGTGACAATCCACACTCAGTGCATGCGAAGACAGTGGGTAACACACCATAACAGCAGCAATGCCTGCAGATTGGAAAGTAGCTGAGATGAGCTCCCGGTGTGTATGTGGTCAGGCACATGCACCCCACCCTAGCAGCAGTAATGCTTGCTCACCTGGAAATGGCCGATTCTGTTCTTCAGAGTTCCCCCTTAGAGACTGCCTCTCCATGTGCTGTGTAGGACTACCTAGCACCGCATTGCACCACTAGCAAGCTACCCTAACAACAATTGTGCAGGCTCACCTGGAAGCGCCCGATTCTCTTCTTCAGAGCCTCCCTCTTGGGACTGCCTCTTGGAGTGCTGTGCAGGTGGGGGCACGTGGGCAGAATTGGAATCTGAGAATTCCGAAGGACCAAGCGAGTAGGTGCTGCGAAGGTAGACAGGTCACAGGTTTAATGAGGCGGATGATTATGAGACTGAAGTGGGAGCAAGTGGTGCCTTACGCGTGGTAGATGTGTGGCAGTTCCAACTCGCACAGAGCTTCACGCACCAGCTTGCAGAAGGGAGAGGGCTGCAGGGGTGGCAGAGAAGACAGAGAGGGAAGGCACACATGTGTGGGGAAGGTGTAAGGAGGTGAGTGAGATAGTACAATTGAGGTAGATGTGGGGCAGCTCCAACTCGCACAGAGCTTCCCGCACCAGCTTGCAGAAGGGAGAGGGCTGCAGGGAGAGAGCAGGGAGGGGGGAAGGCACACGTGTGAGGGGAAGGTGCAAGGAGGTGAGGTGCTGCGTGTGAGGTGGATGTGGGGTAGCTCTAGCTCGCACAGGGCTTCCCGCACCAGCTTGCAGAACGGGGACGGCATGGATGGCAGGGAGTGGAGCAGTGGGGAAACACGCGAGTGGGGAAGGCGCCAGGAGGTGAGGTGCTGCGTGTGAGGTGGATGTGGGGTAGCTCTAGCTCGCACAGGGCTTCCCCCAACGGCTTGCCGAAGGGGGACGGCTGCAGGGACGGCATGGAGGGCTGGGAGCGAGGCAGGGGGAAACACATGAGTGGGCAAGGTGCAAGGAGGTGAGGTGCTGCGTGTGAGGTGGATGTGGGGTAGCTCCCACAGGGCTTCTCGCACCTAACCAGTCAAGACACATGGACAGTTCTGGCTGGATGGAATTGCATCTTTGCCAAGTTATGATATTGCACATAGCATAGCTGTCATGGCTGTCATAGCTGTCGCAACAGACCCACCTCATGTGTGAACCATCCCATTCCGGTCAGACCAATCACACACTGCGAATGCCATGCACTCATCTCACCTCATACGCCCACACTTCCAGTGGCTGGGGCGGCATCTTGGCTGGCACATAGCGGCTTCCCTGCATGTGGCAAGACAGGCGGTTGGACAGTACTTGGGAGGAGTTAGATGGAAGGTAGCACATAGGCCTTTGTCCACGGGGAAGGGAGGAGGATAAAGCGGAATCATTTGGAAATGGCAGCGGTAAATTGGACCGGGTTCGATATGTTTGATGGATCACTCTTCTAACCATCCAAAGCTCGATGAAAGAGGGAGAGGGGGCATGTTCAGATGGAAAAAATTGGGGAAATTTCATGTGAGAAGAAGATGCTTATGGATCATGTGTGAGTCAGAGTGTGAAGCACATACCTTCATCATGCGGCCAATGCCTGCTAGGCCTGCAGTTATGGACTGGCAACATGGGTGGAGGAGGGATGGGTTTCGAAAGGGGGTGAGAGAGGAGGTCAGAAAAGGGGTGAGGAAGGGCGTGAGATAGGGAGGGACAGTGTGGCATGTAGTGAGTCGATTTTTAAGTCGACTCAAAAATCGACAAGGGGTGAGGAAGGGCGTGAGATAGGGAGGGACACTGTAGCATGTAGTGAGTCGATTTTTGAGTCGACTCGAAAATAGAAAAGGGGTGAGGAAGGGCGTGAGATAGGAAGGGACAGTGAAGCAACCGGCGATTTTGGGAGATCTTACTAGACGGGTGCGACATGCCTATTTTCATACAACATGCATTTATACACTGAGTGCAATGCAGTAAATTCAATATACTGATAGAACATCACCACGGTAAAAAAAAACATTTTGTGGCGTTAACTGTGTTCGACCCCTGTCATGGTGCAAATTCTGTGTTAAAAACTCTGTGTTTGAAAGATTCTTGATACGAAGTTTCGGCCACTCACAGTGATGGGTCCGAGCTGGAGCATGAGTGGAATGGATCCGTTGCCTGGAAGACGGGGAAGGAGTGGGCAGGAAGGGGGAGGGAGGGTGCGGGGAGGCAGTTTGGAAGAAAGGAAAAACTGAGAGAAAACAAGCAGAGGCTACAAGTCGGCATGGCACAGGGGGATGTTACGGGTGGTTGAGATTTGCCGAAACTCAAGTCATTTGGTTGGGATTTACCGTACGTGTTTGCGAGGTACTTGATGATTTCGTCTGACATGTACATGCTCAGATATCGAGGCGCTTCAAAGCCGCGAGACACGAGTCAACTTGTGAGGCGCCTCACAAATGATACACGTACCATGTGTGTTGGCGAGGTACTTGATGATTTCATCCGACTCGTACACGCTCAAACTTTCTCGACCTTTTAGGAGCCTCAAAACTGCGACACTTTTGACTTAAGAAGCCACCTCAAAAGAGGAGGCACGTACCGTACGTGTTGGCGAGGTACTTGATGATTTCATCCGACTCGTACATGCTCACTCCCGTATTGTTGAGGCGACTAAAAATAGTATGTACGAACGACAGTGTACATGCTTACCGTACGTGTTGGCGAGGTACTTGATGATTTCATCCGACTCGTACATGCTCACCCCCGTGTTGGGATCCACCTGTAATGGGCAGAAGAGAGTAGTTGCTCAGTGGAAGAATGGGACGAAGTAAGCAATACGCCATGTGTAATATCTTGTGCCCTTACGGAATGCATAGTGCTGGATGCAGCATGCAGAATGCAGAGTGTGCTATGCACGTGACATACCATGTAAGGGAACTGCCTCTTGCCGCCCATCTCAATGGCCTTGGGTCGGTATGTGGGACCATCGACAGGGCACGGGTAGAAGAGCACGTCTAGATCCAGCACTGACACCATCTCACGGACCTGGTGGGCAGGGAGAGGAAAGGAAGGGAACCAATGAGACCACAGAATAGCGATAAGTTGGCACATGGGCCATTGACAGGGCACGGGTAGAAGAGCACGTCTAGATCCAGCACTGATACCATCTCACGGACCTGGTGGGCAGGGAGGGGTAAGGGAGGTGAGGAAAATACAGAATGGTCTTGGGCCCAACTGACGGGGCACGGGTAGAATAGCACGTCTAGTTCCAGCACTGACACCATCTCACAGACCTGAAAGAGTTAGGGAAGCGAAAGGGAGAAACAAATACAACAAAGCAAGGCCATGTGAAGCAATGGCATGGGCCCATTCACGGGGGATGCACAGTGGAACACGTCTAGATCCAGCACTGACACCATCTCACGTATCTGGGAGAGTTAGGGGTGGATTCTGGTGGCATGAGGCACGGGAATGGAGATGGCACGCAAAGCACGGGTGTGGGTGGGAGTGCACGCATTGACAGGGCATGGGTAGAAGGGCACGCCTAGGACCTAGGACCAGCACGCCTAAGAACACTGACGCCATCTCACCGATCTGGGGGGTTAGAGAGTGGCGTTGGCGGGTTCGGGGGCAGGTGAGCACGACAAGGGGCCAGGCAGGCAGGCAGGAGGCAGTGGGCAAGAAAGGGACAAGCAGGGGCAGGTGATGGTGTGTGCATGCAGCATACCTTGCGGCAGAAGGGACAGCTGCAGCAGCAGGAGGGCACGAGGGCGAGAACGAGCAGCGACGTTGATGCGATTGACGGGGGGATGGAGGCGGGGAGGGGATGGGGAAGGGGAGGGGATGGGGAAGGGGAGGGGATGGGGAAGGGGAGGGGAAGGGGGATCAGAGGCATGAAAGGAAGGCAAAAGCGTGAGACAAAGCGGAAGCATCATCTACAATAGCGAACGGGCACAGAAGGGTTACGTCTTGAATTATGAGCAACCGATGGAGGAAAGGGCACAAACGAATGAGAGCAAAAGTTACGGATGAAGTGAGGAGAGGGGAGGAAAGGGCATATAACCTGCATTAAGAAGCCAGCAAGCTGCACTGCAAGCAAAGATCATCCCTTTGCCAGCGGTGCGATTCACCAACAGGAGTGATTCTACCTCACCCTTCAAACTCGTAGATCTCGATGGGCTGGGTCACCGGCTTCAGTTCGCCCGTGGTGGTTTCCACCAGCTTGTACCCTGCAGTGGACGAGTGTGAGGCAATGAGGGTGCTATTTCAACCACTTCAACACTATTGAATAGAACAACAGCCCGAGTGCTATTGCCTAAATCATGGATTGTGATTGTGATTGGGATTGGGATTGTGATTGTCCAGTCACTCTCCACTTGCAACGAAAAGTGAAGTCATGACTGGAGTATAGTCACTAGTTGATGTTTGTCGCTCTAATCGCCCATGACTGGTCTTAGCGCATGGTGCTAGTTCGCCACTCACTGCGCACGAGTTCTAAGTCACAGCAAATACTGACTACGGTTGGAATTAAAGTCGACTCAAGTCAGGCCCAGTGAGGTGGTGACACCAGGATGAAAAGCGTCGAAATGGTCCAGTCCTGAGACGTGGCATATTTATCCGAAGTCTACTCACCCATGACTGGCCCCAGTGCATAATCCTCGTCCTTCACTGCAGACGAGGACTCCACCTTGGCCTTGTACCTGCAGCACGCGGACGTTGAAAACAAGGAGAAGGGGTGGAAGCGAGAAGTTTAAACACATGATTCCACTTGGCCTTGTACGTGCTTAGGTGTCGTCCTTCACTGCAGATGACGACTCCACCTTGGCCTTGTACCTGGCAGCATGCAGACATTGAAAGAGAGGGAGGACAAGGAAGAACAAGGAAGAAAGAAAGAAATAGGTTGAACTTCTGAGTCGGCTTGAATGCAGACTTCAACAGCGACGATTACGGCAAAAGCATATCGTCAGCTTCAGGGCGGAAACGAAACGATTACTAAGGAAAAACTCAGCCTTACCCTTCACTGAACACGCCCGTGCCGAGGCGGAAGAGGATCGGCAACGATGCGCCAATCACGGCTCCCAGCTGCCCGCTTGCCACGGAAAATGGCTTAGGCTCGGGCGGCACAAAGTTTTCAGGTGCCCGGATGTCGTTAGATGACGACGCTGCCGCCTACGAGAGAGGAAGGTAAGGATGGCAGGTATGTTGGGAACGCTTTATTCCGATTCACTGCATTCGTTGCTGCTCTGACGAAAACAGCGCATGCATCGGTACCAAAAACCAAAAAAGGAAACCAATAACACAAAAGCACAATATCGCGGACGAGTACAACCTAGTGAAAAAAAAAAAAAAAGCAAACAAACAAACAAACAAAAGGTTACGATTCGAAGCTAGACTGTGCTTACCTGTGAGCTCGAAGGCTGGTCACCGCCTCCCATCTCGGCACGAACAACTTGTCGGAGCCCCCTGCTACTCCCCGCTACGCTAGCAGCACTCTTCGTCTGCAAGCTATTTCCGGAAACGCCAGAAAGCGATGCAAGGCTGGAGGAAGGGAGCCGTGTCGCGGCAGAAGAAAGAGCTGCCATGAAGCTGCACAACGTAGTCAAGGGAACTTGAGTGCAGGGTTGGAATTCAGGAGCCTCGAGATTGGCGTGCCGAGACTTGGTTCTGGGTAAGCTGCTCAAGATTTCTGATGGTTTTGTGAGAACGAATTCTGTTTCGAGAATCCACCAGCAGCTCATGAGGAATTCCACCTTCATGACGACGTGCGAAGCCTCTCGCATACCTCGTAGGGAAGAGCAATTGGTCTGCGAAGGTGTTACGAATCTTGACGACTGTATGCGTGGTGGTGAGTGAACAAGGTGGTCCACGTGGGAGATCTTCCGCTCGCCACGTTGTCCATCCACGATTCCAGGAGAAGTGCGGGGCGCAGGTCATATTCACTTCTAGTACAGTCAATACTCCCCACCGTTTTCTTCATTATTTCCCAAAACTCCTAAGCAAAGCACATCCATGCATGTTCCCAAAAAGTCCTAGAAGCACCTAGCTCTAAGTGCTGTTGCAACAAGATACTCGTCGCCTAACTCGGGAAAACTGACTAGGCTCACTTAGTGCGTATTTTGACTGATTTGCTCTGGAGTGCCTCGCAAAAAACATCAACACATCCATATCATCTTTGTTGCGGTCTGCAGCATCTGTTAGGATAGAATGAGGCTGACTTACATTTTTTTTACAAATCCTTTCGGTGCGGATAGGCCTGCAAACAACGATACACAGCACCGAAACAAAACAAATTGCAGAAAGCAGGACCACATGGAGGAAAGGGTGAATAACCACGCTGACAAAACACCAACCTAGCTTACCCATGACTTAATCCATTCTTGCCCAAATTTGGCTCATATTGTTCACCCAGTTCTACCCCACGTTGCTCCCACTCACCCCACTGCCGCCACCGTTGCCGAACTCCTCCCCAGCGCTCGGCACCAAGAGTGCATCAAGCACCTCCACCACCGCCGCCGCAGTCGGCGCACCTCAGGGTCAGGCAGCAGGCAGCGCGAGGCGAGCTTCAAACCTCCCATACTCACTCATTTCTCACTCCAATCCTACTCACACCATGCTCAGATCTCACCCGTTCTTACTGCACACCGTGCCTGCTTCTCCCATCCGTCTCCCTACTCACCCCGCTGCCGCCGCCGCCGTTGCCAAACTCCTCCCCAGCACCCGGCACCACGAGTGCATCGAGAATCTCCACCACCGCTGCGGCAGTGGGCCGAACCTCGGGGTCGGGCAGCAGGCAGCGTCCGGCGAGCTTGACCATCTCCACAAGGGCAGGCAGGGCGAAGCTTCCCTGCAGCTTCGGATCCACCATGGCCTCCACCTTGGCCCGGTCCATCAGCTTCGGCTTCGCCTGGGGGAGAGGGGAGAGGGAGAGAGAAACGAGGGAGAAAGGAGGAGGGGGGAGGAAGGGAAAAAGTGGAGAGTGTGGGATCAGACAGGGTGAGATTTGGTCGGCCCGACCTGGCCCGTTGTGGGTGGGCGCATGGGGAATGGAAGGCCCTCCCCTCGGGGTTGGGCAGCAGGTGGCGCGCGGCGAGCTTGACCATCTCCACCAGGGCAGGCAGGAAGGGAAGAGGAGGGAGGGAAGAGGAAAGACGCATGAGCCAAGGAGGGCCCTCTCCTCGGAATTGGGCAGCAGGCGGCGCGCGGCGAGCTTGACCATCTCCACCAGGGCAGGCAGGAAGGGAAGAGGAGGGAGGGAAGAGGAAAGACGCATGAGCCAAGGAGAGCCCTCTCCTCGGGATCGGGCAGCAGGCGGCGCGCGGCGAGCTTGACCATCTCCACCAGGGCAGGCAGGGCGAAGCTCCCCTGCAGCTTCGGATCCACCTTGGCCTCCACCTTGGCCCGGTCCATCAGCTTCGGCTTCACCTGGGGGAGAGGAGAGAGGAAGGAGGGAATTTTGCAGAAGCAGGAGTCGGGTGGGTAAGTGGAAGAGGTTCATCAGATTCGGCGCTGCTTGGGGGAGAGCAGCGAGGGAGGGAAGGGAATGGTGAAGTGGGAGTGAGTGAGCGAGTGAAATGGAAACAGAGAGGAGAGGGAGGGGGGAGGAGGGAAAACGGAGGGAGGAGGGAGGAAACTGAAGGAGAGAGTGTGGGGTGAGAGGGGAATGACAGGCAAGGTAGGAGGTTTGGTTGACTGCGGGAGTGAGAAGGGCAGTCAATTTACGATTCTGCAGACTTCCCAAATGCACTGCGAAACTCGGATAGAACCAGCAAGGAGGAAGTTCAGATTACTGACCTGTAAGGAGGACTTGCCAAATGCACCTGCTAGGACTTCGGGTTCACGAGTGCACTTGAAAACGGCATTGTGATTCACCCGGCGCACACGCAGTCAACGCACCCATGGCATCAATCAAATCACTCATGGCATGCACCTGGGAGGCGGACACTCACCCAGCGCACGCGGGGCTGCTTGGTGGGCGGCAGGGGAGGGTCAAACGGCCTCCTGCTGGTGATGAGCTCGAGACTCGAGAGCACACATGGTGCTTCAATTCAAATTACTCATCCAGCGCACAAGGGCCAAAGTAACCTGCCTGAGAGGCCAACACGCGGGACTTCAAATCACTCACCCAGCACACGAGGGACTTCAAATCACTCACCCAGCGCACGAGGGACTTCAAATCACTCACCCAGCGCACGAGGGACTGCTCGGTGGGAGGTAAGGAGGGGTCGAGCGGCCTTCTCCCTGTGACGAGTTCGAGCAGCAGCACGCCCATGGCGTACATGTCAGTGCGCGCCGTGCTCTCATGCACCCATGCCAGCTCCGGTGCCACTGCTCCTGATGCTAGCGCCTGGGGGGGGGATAGGTTGGAAGGGAGGAGAGACAGTGGGGTTGTGTGGGTGGGGTGCACACATTGGGCAGCCGTGCTCTCATGCACCCATGCCAGCTCCGGTGCCACTGCTCCTGCTGCTAGCGCCTGGGAGGGATTGGATGCTAGGAGGCCCAGGGAGTGAACGCAGGCAGTAGCGAAGAGCAAGGCAGGCCTCAGAATGAGCAAGTCAATCAAAGAAAGGCCTTACATTAGAGGAAGGTCGGACTCACCACCACAGGGTAAGCGGGCATGGTGGAGGGCTTGGGCACAAGGAGCTCGGGCATAGGGAGTGCCGATAGGTAGAAGTGAGAATTGACAGTCTTTCGAGTCGACTCAAAACGAGCTCGGGCATAGGGAGTGCCGATAGGTAGAAGTGAGAATTGACAGTCTTTCGAGTCGACTCAAAACGAGCTCGGGCACGGGGAGTGCCGATAGGCAGAAGTGAGAACTGACAGTCTTTCACTTCAGAATGGGGAAGTAGAACGAACGAAAGGCGTTAATCTAGAAGGAATTCAGAGTTACCACAGAGGAAGCGGGCATGGCAGAGGGCTTGGATGCGAGGAGGTCGAGAGAGTGCAGGCATGCAGTAGTGAAAGGCGTGGCAGGCGTCAGAATGAGGTAGCCAAACAAACCAAGGCCTTACACTGGAGGAGAGTCAGGCTTACATTGGACCAGGCATCAGTGAGCGAGTGCAATTAGAAGATGAACAGGCAGGCTTACCACGGAGGAAGCGGGCATGGCAGAGGGCTTGGACGCGAGGAGCTCGAGCGAGTGAAGTAAGTAGTCGATACGGACTAGGCGAGACATCAGAGAGTGAAAGGAAGGCGGGCTTACCGTAGCAGGTATTCAGGCTTACCACAGAGCAGGGCCTTACCGTAGCAGGTATTCAGGCTTACCACAGAGCAGGGCCTTACCGTAGCAGGTATTCAGGCTTACCACAGAGCAGGGCCTTACCGTAGCAGGTATTCAGGCTTACCACAGAGCAGGGCCTTACCGTAGCAGGTATTCAGGCTTACCACAGAGCAGGGCCTTACCGTAGCAGGTATTCAGGCTTACCACGGAGCAGGGCCTTACCGTAGCAGGTATTCAGGCTTACCACAGAGCAGGGCCTTACCGTAGCAGGTATTCAGGCTTACCACGGAGGAAGCGGGCATAGCAGAGGGCTTGGAGGCGAGGAGCTCGAGAGAGTGAAGGCAGTAGTCAGAGAGATAGGCTGTTGAATCCTGTGCCACCACCACTGATGTGGATGTGAGGTCCTGATGGGTCATCTGGTGAAATAGGGAGAAGAAGGAAAGCGAGGAGAGGGAGGAGAGGGAGGAAAGGGATTGATAGGCGCACAAGGGAGTGAAAGCAGTTGTTGGAGAGATAGGCTGTTGTGTCCTGTGCCACCACCACTGATGTAGATGTGAGGTCCTGGTGGGTCATCTGGTGCGAATGAAGGAAGGGAATGGGCAGGACAAGGGAGTGAAGTGAAGGCAGTGGCTGGAAAGGTAGGCTGTTGAGTCCTGTGGGAAGCGCAGCCCCTCCGCTCATCTACATCAGCCCCTCCGCTCATCTACATCAGCCCCTCCGCTCATCTACATCAGCCCCTCCGCTCATCTACATCAGCCCCTCCGCTCATCTACATCAGCCCCTCCACTCCGCCGCATCCCTTGCACTTTCGCATCCCCGTGGTAACTTCAAAAACTACAAATGAATGAAGACCTGAGAAAAGACAGAGGCTTTAAGGGTTTATCTGAGGGCACTAAAGCAGGGTCCGCTGGGTTTGAATGAAGGGCTCACCTGTGAGTTGAGGGGCTTTAAGAGCTCTCACCTGTGAGTTTTGGGGCTTTAACGGCTCACCTGCGAGTTTGGGGCTTTAAGAGCTCACCTGTGGGTTGAGGGAATGGAGAAATCGTAGCCCCTCCGCCACATCCCTTGCAATGGACACACGCACGTTCCACGGCAGCACCCGGTCCAACGAGTCTGGTGGGGTAGGGGAGGGGAGCACGACGATGGGGGGAGTGAGGGCGTGGCAATAGGGGAAATGAGCACAGCCCCTCGGCCATATCCCTGGCAATCGACACACACGCACGTTCCACGGCAGCACGCGGTCCAACAAGTCTGGTGGGAGAAGGGATGGCAGGGAGGGGAAAACGATGATGGGGGAGGTGAGGGCACGGCAATGGGGGGGCAGAGCATGAGGGGAGAGGACATGGTGATGGACACATGCACGTTCCATGGCAGCACTTGGTCCAACGAGTCTGATGGGAGAAGGCATGGCGACGGGGATGGGGAGAGAGCATGAGGCTGCACCAGTTGGGAGGGAGTACACAATCATGCGGCTGCCTCTCAGGTAATCCGCACATAACCCCAACACCTTGAGCAGCATGCTCCCATCCGCACCACCACCGCTTTCCTCCCTCCCAATACCTTGAGAGCAGGCAAGCCTGAACACTCCTCGGCACCGCTTCTCACCGTGCAAGCAACCCCAGGCACCGCTTCTCACCGTGCAGGTACGTCTCGAGCGTGGCAGCACCAGGCGGGAGGGAATACACAATCATGCGGCTGCCTCTCAGGTAATCCGCACAGAACCCCAGCACCTTGAGCAGCATGCTCCCATCCCCATTTCCCCCTCCCCCCTCGCCCCCTGCAGCCCCTCCCGCCTGCATGCGCGCAAACACGTCGAGTGCAGCGGCAAAGGTCTCTCGGGGCTCTGAGCTGAGCACGTCCACCTGAGCCACCGCTATGAAGCTGCGATCGGGGAGCATGCCTCTGGAGGTGGTGCAACAAGGACGAAGAGAGGAGGGATGGGGGAAGGGCAGCAAAGGTCTCTCGGGGCTCTGAGCTCAGCACGTCCACCTGAGCCACCGTTATGAAGCTGCGGTCTGGGAGCATGCCCCTGCGGGTGGTGGGACAGGATGGTGGGGCAGCGGGAATGGGTAGGTGGTAATCAGGAGGTGGGGAATTGTAGGAGGTGGGGGATTTGGCGTTCTTCCTTTCCTTGTTGGGGGATCGGATTGCTGAAGCTTCGGAGCCTTGAAGAGGGGAGAGTGGCTAGGCATATAACCTCACATACCCGCATGCGTTGAGCACGATGTGATTACAACGAATGTTCTTGTAGGTGAGTAGGCTGTGTCTCAAACGAACATGCCTGTAAGTGAGCAGGCTGTGACTATAGCAAACGTGCCTGATGGTGAGCAGGCTGTGACTATAACACGTGCCTGTGGGTGAGCAGGCTGTGACTATAGCCAACGTGCCTGTAGGTGAGCAGGCTGTGACTAAATTGAAGGTGCCTGTGGGTGAGCACGCTGTGACTATAGCAAACGTGCCTGTAGGTGAGCAGCCTGTGCTCCCGCTGGGCAAAGAGGTGATCCGGGGAGAAGTTGCCTGTGGCTATAGTGAACGTGACTGTAGGAAAGCAGGATGTGACTATAACGAACGTAACATGCCTGTATGTAAGCAGGCTGTGCTCCCGCTGGGCGAAGAGGTGATCTGGGGAGAAGTTGCCTGTGGCTATAGTGAACGTGACTATAGGAAAGCTGGCTGTGACTATAACGAACTTAACGTGCCTGTAGGTGAGAAGGCTGGAGGTGAGAACATAACCCGCTGGGCAAAGAGGTTCTCCGGGGAGAAGTTGCCTGTGGTGGCTATAACGAACACAAATGTAGACGAGGAGGAGGAGGAGCAGGCTGTGACTATAAAGAACGTGCCTGTAGGTGAGCAGGCTGTGCTCGCGCTGAGCGAAGAGGTGATCCGGGGCGAAGTTGCCCGTGGCGAGCTGCAGCTCCTCCAGCGAGAAGGGCTTTAGCAACTGTGAGGCGCCCACGGCTGGGAGAACACAAGGGGCACAAGAAGACACAAGGGGACACAAGAGGACACAAGAGGACACAAGAGGACACAAGGGGACACAAGAGGACACAAGAGGACACAAGGGGACACAAGGGGACACAAGGGGACACAAGGGGACACAAGGGGACACAAGGGGACACAAGGGGACACAAGGGGACACAAGGGGACACAAGGGGACACAAGGGGACACAAGGGGACACAAGGGGACACAAGGGGACACAAGGGGACACAAGGGGACACAAGGGGACACAAGGGGACACAAGGGGACACAAGGGGACACAAGGGGACACAAGGGGACACAAGGGGACACAAGGGGACACAAGGGGACACAAGGGGACACAAGGGGACACAAGGGGACACAAGGGGACACAAGGGGACACAAGGGGACACAAGGGGACACAAGGGGACACAAGGGGACACAAGGGGACACAAGGGGACACAAGGGGACACAAGGGGACACAAGGGGACACAAGGGGGCACAAGGGGACACAAGGGGATACAAGGGGACACAAGGGGACACAAGGGATGGACGGGGGCAGAGTGGGCGTGCGTATTTGTGAGCTTCAGAGGGGGGCCATGCTGAGCTGCCCGTGGTGAGCTGCAGCTTCTCCAGCGAGAAGGGCTTGAGAGAGAGTGAGGCGCCCACAGCTGAGGGGGAAGGGAGAGAGACGGGAGAAGGGACAGATACGGGAAGAGATAGGGACAGATACGGGGGGGGGGGGGGCATGGGGTGAGCTGAAGGAGATAAGGGAGAAGTTGCCCGTGGCGAGCTGCAGCTCCTCCAGCGAGAAGGGCTTGAGCGACTAGTGACGAGGGGTCCGGCCTGTGCAGGTCTGCCGCTCCTGCAGAGACTGATGACTGGTAGAGAAGGGAGAGAGTGTAGCGAGAGGGTGTGGGTGTGAGACGAGGAAGGGTGAGAGAGGAGAAATGAGAAAAAGGAGGGTGAGGGCAGAAATGAGAAGAGGGGAAACTGGGAGAGAGAGGAAAAGTGGGGGAGATGGTGAGAGAGGAGGCAGGAAAGGGGGACAGGGAGGGAGGAGGGAGCAAGGAGAGAGAGGAAACGAAGGAAAGCTGGGGAGGGCATGGAAGTGAGGGAGAGAGGGATGAAAGTGAGAAAAGTGAAGGGCTTGAAGGAACGACCCAACTTCACGGCGAAGGGAATAAGCAGGCGACACTCATTCAAGGAGAGGGCATGGAAGTGAGGGAGAGAGAGGGATGACGGTGAAGAAAGAGAAGGGCACTCACTCATAGAGCGGCCGAACTTTCATAGCAACGGCCATGGCAGCAGAGGGCGAGCGGGAGGAGGTGGCAGCGGGTGAAGGGAAGGGAGAGAAGGGAAAGGAGGTAGGGCGGACACTCACTCATAGAGCGGCCGAACTTCATAGCAAAGGCCATGGCAGCAGAGGGCGAGGGGGAGGTGGCGGCAGCGGGTGAAGAGAAGGGAGAGAAGGGAAAGGAGGTAGGGCGGACACTCACTCATAGAGCGGCCGAACTTCATAGCAAAGGCCATGGCAGCAGAGGGTGAGGGGGAGGTAGCAGCAGCAAGGCCAGACGAGCCTGCAGCAGCGGAGGCAGAGGAAGCCGGGTGCACCCCTGCTGCGACGTTATAGGCATCGTCAGGGTCCAGCGCCTGGGAGAAGGTGGTGGCAGAGGTTGCAGGGACGGACAGGTGCTGGTAGGCCCTGTGCGGTGGGGTGCGGTCAGGCGGGGTTGGGTGGGTGGGGTGAGGTGGGGTGGGTGGAGGGACAAAGATGAGCCATCATGCCTGGTGCAACAGTGCAACAACGTTGTAGGCATCATCGGGGTCCAGCGCCTGGGAGAAGGTGGTGGCAGAGGTTGCAGGGACAGACAGGTGCTGGTAGGCCCTGTGGGATGGGATGCGGTGCAGTTGGGTGGGATGGGGTGGAGAGAAAAAACAAATGAGCCACTTCTGCTGAAACGTTGTAGGCATCATCTGGGTCCAGCGCCTGAGAGAAGGTGGCTGTGGCTGGCGGGACTGAGAGATGCTGGTAGGCCCTGAGGGGTGGGATGGGGTGGAATGGGGTGGAGCGCGGTGGAGAGAGAATAGATGAGTCATAACCCCTGCTGCGATGTTGTAGGCATCATCCGGGTCCAGCGCCTGGGAGAAGGTGGTGGCAGAGGTTGCAGGGACGGATAGGTGCTGGTAGGCCCTGTGGGATGGGGTGCGGTGCAGCTGGGTGGGATGGGGTGGAGAGAAAAAAAAATGAGCCACTTCTGCTGCAAAGTTGGAGGCATCATCCGGGTCCAACGCTTGCGAGAAGGTGGCTGTGGCTGGCGGGACAGAGAGGTGCTGGTAGGCCCTGTGGGGTGGGGTGGGGTGTGGTGGGGTGGGGTGGGGTGGGAAGAAGAGGAGTGCTGTGACTCATGAGCAACGTTGTAGTCCAGCATCTGGGAGAAGGTGACCGTGGCTGGAGGGACTGACAGGTGCTGGTAGGCCCTGTGGGGTGCGGTGGGGTGGGGTGCGGAGGGGTGGGGTGTGTTGGAGTGGGGAAGACTGGGACAGGAAAGGGGAGAGAGAAAGTAGCGGTATGACTCATGTGCATCCCTGGGGGGTCTAGTCTAAGTAGCAACTAAGAGAGTGTGGCTGAGGATGCTGCAAGAACTGACAGGTGCTGGTGGCGAGAACAATTTTACCTTACCACTCCCAACCGCACTCCATCCCATTCCATTCCACCCACCTGGCCTTGCTGGATGCGCTCCAGACCCAGCCCGTCTGTCCCATTCGCACCCCACCCCACTCCACCGCAGCACACCCACCTGGACTTGCTGGACGCACTAAAGCCCCAGCCCGTCTGCCCGGTGCGCTTGTTGTGGGCGCGGTTGCGGATGCACCAGATGCAGGAGATTATAAGCGTTGTGAACATGATGGCTGCGAGCAGCGAGAGAGCCACGATCCACGCGGGCGACAGGTCGTCGTCTCCCTGCGCGTCAAAGTGCTCTGAGGAAACAGAAACAGCGAGTGTGGGTGCGGGCCGGCAGGGAGCGCGTGAGAGAGAGGGGAAAAGAGAGGGGTAGGGAGCGGAGAAAGGGAGGATTTACGAGGCTTCTCGAGAATTTTCGCCCGGCCCGGAGTGCTTTGTTTCTCGTAGGGCGCGGTTTCGGAGGCACCAGATGCAGGAGATGAGAAGCGTTGTGAGCATGATGGCTGCGAGCAGCGAGAGCGCCACGATCCACGCGGGTGACAAGTCGTCGTCTCCCTGCGCGTCAAAGTGCTCTGGGGAGATGGAAAGTGGGGTAAGAAGGGGACAGAGCTGACATGAGGAGGCTAGGGACGAAGGAGAGCACGAGCCATGTTCCAGCTGCACCTGCCCCAGCTGCACCTGCCAGTAGCTAGTGTTAAGAATTACACTGTCTTTTTCATACTTGCTCAAGCCTAAACCTAAGCGCTGCTGCTCACTGGAAAATGTCCGAAGATCTGCACGAGCCATGTTCCAGCTGCACCTGCCCCAGCTGCACCTGCCCCAGCTGCACCTGCCCCGGCTGCACCTGCCCCGGCTGCACCTGCCTCAGCTGCACCTGCCTCAGCTGCACCTGCCCCGGCTGCACCTGCCTCAGCTGCACCTGCCTCAGCTGCACCTGCCCCAGCTGCACCTGCCCCGGCTGCACCTGCCTCAGCTGCACCTGCCCCGGCTGCACCTGCCTCAGCTGCACCTGCCTCAGCTGCACCTGCCCCAGCTGCACCTGCCCTGGCTGCACCTGCCTCAGCTGCACCTGCCCCGGCTGCACCTGCGCCTCAGTTGCACCTGCCCCATGCACACACCCATCCATCCTGCCTTGCACCAAGCTATACCCCGAGCCGAGACACTCACGTTCGCGGCATTGGCAAGGAGCATATCTCTCCCCAGGCAGACACACTCTCTAGCCTGGCCATCCGTTGTCGCAGTGGCACAGCTGCACCTGCCCCAGCTGCACCTGCCCCACTGCTGCGCATATACATCCATCCCCCTTTGCACCAATGACCAATCTATAACCGTAGGCACTCACGTTCACGGCACTGGCATGGAGCGTACCCCTCCCCTGGCAGACACACACTCTCCCCCGGCCACCCGTTGTCGCAGTGGCACAGCTGCACCTGCCCCACCGCGCACGGCTTGCGCACGATACTGTTCACGGGCGGCAGGGGCGGCGCGTCCATTGGCACTGGGCGGCACCGCCCGTCGTTTGTGAACATGACGCAGAGCTGCGGGTTGTTCTTGAAGCTGGGATGGGCGAGAAAGGAGCAGGGAAGGCGTGGGTGGAAACGGGAGTGAGGAACATTGGGAACTGATGAAAAAAAAAGAAAAAAAACTTGAAAACATATGGAAAGAAAAAGGAGGAAATTTTAGGATGAAGATGCGCGTTGAAATGCTCTTTGAAATCACGGCCGAGAGCCCCGTATAGCTGGTTGTACTGCATGCGCAGGTAGGTGAGGTGATCTCTGAGCCGCCTCAAGACTCAAATCAAAGGCAATAAAAGCCACACTTACGCATTGAGATGCTCCTTGATTTCAAGTTCAAGGGCGCCGTTTTGCTGGTTGCACTGCATGCGCAGGTACGAGAGCTGATCCTGATTCTTGAGTCGACTCAAGACTCAAAGGCATCAGTAACCGCCGCTACTCATGCGTTGAAGTTCTCGTTAAATTCGAGGCCGAGACCCCTGTAGAGCTGGTGGTATTGTTGGCTGATTTAGAGGTTGACTTACGATTTGAAGCCACCAGAAGCCACACTCACGCGTTGAGGTGCTCCTTGAACTCGAGTCTCAGCGCGCCATAGAGCTGGTTGTACTGCATGCGCAGGTAGGTGAGCTGATCCTGGTTCTTGAGTTGACTCAAGATTCTAACTTTAAGAGGCAATAAAAGCCACACTTACGCATTGAGATGCTCTTTAGAATCAAGGCCCAGCGCGCCATTGAGCTGGTTGTACTGCATGTGCAGGTACATGAGCTGATTCTATAGTCGACTCAAGACTCAAATTAAAGGCACCAGAAGGGAAGCCACACTCACGCATTGAGATGCTCCTTGAACTCAAGTCCGAGAGCCCCGTAGAGCTGGTTGTACTGCATGCGCAGGTACGTGAGCTTGGGCAGCGACGCTATTGCAGACGGCACCTTGCCCGTGAGATTGTTGTGATCCAACATGCTGCGAGGGGAGCGGGAGCGAGGGAAGGGAGAGGGGAGAGGCAACCCTTGATAGACGCGATTGCAGACGGCACCTTGCCCGTGAGATTGTTGTGATCCAACATGCTGGGGGGGGGGGGGGGACGGGGGGGGGGGGGGGAGAAGGGGAGGGTGGAGGGAGAGGGTGGGGGAAAGGAAGGGGGCAAAGGGAGGAGGGAGATGACGGGGGGCAAGAAGGAGAGGCGTTCTTTGAGAATCAACTGCCCCTCTGCACGTGGAAGGCTCAGCCTCCTAGCACGCCAAAGAGGTGGTTGTTTGTTGTACTGCATGTGCAGGTATGTGAGCTTGGGCAGCGAGGCTATGGCAAAGGGCACCTTGCCTGTGAGATTGTTGTGAGTTAACACCTTGCAGGAATGGCCTCCTGCGGTGCTTCAAAAGCACGTACAGGAGACGAGCTTTGATTTGAAGCGCATCAAAACAGAAAATTCGAGAGAACTTACAGAGTGGTGAGGGCGGTGCATGCTCCGATCCCTTCTGGTACCGTATCGTTGAGATGGTTGAAACTTAATGACCTGAGATGAGATGGGCAGAGGGAAGGGTTAAAAGGGATGGGGGTGAGGGAGGAAAGGGAGGGAGGTCAAGGAGGGAAGGGAGGCAAGTGATGGGAGTGATGGGCGGAGCACAAACAGGTGGAAAGGATCTTCTTGGTAGGTAGGTAAGCACCCAACGAAGTGCCTTTTGAGTCGACTCAAAAGTCCACTCAAAAATCATTGATGGGAGTGATGGGCGGGGCACAAACAGGTGGAATGGTTCTTCTTGGTAGGTAGGTAGGTAAGAACCCAACGAACTAGTCTGCTGTGGCAGTGGTGGCAGGCACTCACAGGTGCTGCAGGTTGGTGAGCTGAGTGATGGAGTATGGAATGGACCCCTCCAAGCTGTTCTCTGGTACTCAAGTGTAAGTAGCCTAGCCTGTGGCAGTAACACGTGGTGTGCTGCATGTGCACATGAGCTCACTCACAGGTGCTGCAGGTTGGTGAGCTGAGTGATGGAGTATGGAATCGACCCCTCCAAGCTGTTCTCCTCCAGCGCTCTGACACGCACGTCGGTCAAGAGGAAAAAGGGATATAATAGGGGAATGGGGGGGATGTTTAAAGAGGAAAGAGCTGAGTTATTGCAGGTTGGTGAGCTGAGTGATGGAGTATGGAATCGACCCCTCCAAGCTGTGTGAGAAAACGAGAGGAGGAACCATTAAATTCATTAGGAGAGAGGGAGGTATACATAGTAGTGCTAGGGGGGGAGGGGTTGGTTGGGAACCAAGCCAACATTATTGGCCCCCACCAATAGGTTGGGTTGAGGGATGATTGGGGGGACCAATAATGTTGACCAAGTTGGTTCAACATTATTGGGGGGACCAATAATTCCCAACCCAACCTTGGGGCCAAGGTTGGAGTTCCAACCCCCAACTAGGGTTAGCCCTAGTTCTACACCCAAACTAAGTTTGGGTGGCTATCTCTAGCCTAAGCTTATAGGATTGATGTAGGTTATAATGAGGATGGTAATCTGACACAACCCCTTAACCTACAGAAATCCATAAGCTAGGGAAGAGAGAGAGTAACAACCCCTGAGTCAGCCACCGCGGGGAGCAAGTCCCTGGAGACGCAAAAGCGCAGAGTGGTCGGAGCGGTGGAGAGCTTTGGTGAAGAGATCGGCGAGGTTGTCGGAGGAGGCGATTTTGCGAAAGGTGAGGTGACCATCTTGGACAAGGTCGCGAACAAAGTAGTAGCGAAGCTCGATGTGTTTAGAGCGACCATGAAAAACTGCTTCCTTGGTGAGGTGGATGGTACTGTCGTTGTCACACCACAGGGTGGGGCGGGGCTGTGGAGAGCCAAGGTCGGTGAGCAGGTAGCTGAGCCAACGTGCTTCTTGAGCCGCCATCGTGACCGCGTACAGTTCGGCTTCGCAGGATGAGAGGGCAACGGAGGAGGAGCGGGTGGAGCGCCAACTGATGAGGCCGCCCCCAAGTGTGAAGCCATATCCCTGAGAGCTGCGACGGTCGGGCTGTGCGTCGGCCCAAGATGAGTCGCTGAAGCCTTGAAGAATGGGCGGATTCACACCACCCAGAGTGAGGACATGGTCCTTCGTGCCTTGAAGGTAGCGAAGAACACGCATGGCCGCCTTCCAATGCTCTTCACCATGCCTGCCGGTGTCAACGAACTGCGCCAGAACACTGACTGGGTATGCAAGGTCGGGACGAGTGCAGACCATGGCGTACATCAGGGCCCCAACAAGTTCTGCGTAGGGATGAGGGGAGGTGACGGGAGTGGTGGGAGGGGCGAGCTGATGCCCGAATGCAAGTGGTGTGGGGATGGGTTTGCAGGTTGTCATGCCAAACCTCTCAAGAATCTTCTCGATGTAAAATGACTGAGAGAGGGTGATGGTCTTGGCAGTGAGGTCGCGAGTGATCTCCATGCCGAGGTAGTTGCGAACCTCCCCTAGGTCCTTGCAGGCAAGGCGTTTCTGCAGCGCATCCTTGACCTCCTGTAGGTCAGCAGTTGTGTCAGCGGCCAGCAGCATGTCGTCGACGTAGACGAGGATGAAGAAGGGTGATGGGGTGAGGCGCAGGAAGAGGCATGAGGCGGCACGGGAGGGGCGAAAGCCAAGTGCGCGAAGGGTGGAGGAGAGTTTGGCGTGCCATTCCCGAGGCGCTTGTTTGAGCCCGTAGACAGGACGTAGCAGCTTCCAAACAGTGGTAGGGTTGTGAGGAGCATGGAAGCCTTTGGGACGTTCCAAGAAAATGAGCTCATGAAGGTTGCCTTGCAGAAAGGCGGTGGTGACGTCCATGGAGTGAAGAAGCATCCCACGTCTGCCAACAAAGTCCAAAAACACGCGAATGACCGGTGGAGTGGCGGTGGGTGAGTAGGTCTCGAAGAAGTCTGAGCCATAGGTCTGTGTGAAGCCTTTTGCCACATATCGAGCCTTGTACACCGGAGCGTTGCCAGGGAGTAGTTTGACTCGAAAAAGCCACCTGCCTTGGACCACGTTGTGCTTTGAGGGACGAGGGACGTCGATAAACGAGCGGTTGCTGATGAAGGCATTGCTCTCCTTGACCATGGCCTCGATCCAGAGAGGTGCATCAAGGCAGGCAAGTGCTTGCTCATAGGTGGTGGGTTCGTAGATGGTGGGGGTGGTGGAGAAGAGAAGAACAGTGGTGCCAGCCATTGTGCGGACGACTGGGGCGACGGTTGGTGAGAGGAGGTGGAGGAACATTAGCTCATCATGAGAATCCTCAGTGAGGTCCGGAGTGAGAGGAGGAGGAAGAGGAGGCGGTGAAGTTGCAAGACAGCTGCGCTGGTGGGTCGGGCTGATGCGGGGACACAGGTGCACTGGTGCTCTGCTGCGCTGAGGGTCGGGGCGAGGAGACAGCTGCATTGCAGCTCGGCTTCGCTGGGTTGCCGGGAGGGGCAGAGAGACGGGAGCGCGACTGCTGAGAGAACCTGAGGTGCTGGTGCGGGGGGGAGGGGAGGTGCTATGGTGGCGGAGAAGGGGGATGGATGTGAGAGACTGGAGGGAGGGGGGGGTGGACCTGGGGGTACCAAGAATGGGGACCGTGGAGCGGGTGTGAGGGTAGTGGCGGAGTATGAGAGGGGGAGTGGGAAGTAGGGGCCGTGAGGACGGAGGTGAAGTGAGTGGGGGAGGGCGTGGGGAGGGGGGAGGCGGGGGATGTTCTGCACAAAGGGACGGAGGGGAAGGAGGGGGGGGAGGGGCAGCGGGTGGGGAGGAAGGGGGAGGGGCAGCAGGTGGGGAGGAAGGGGGAGGAGAAGCGGATGGGGAAGGAGGGTGGACGGGGTCAAGGATGTCTCCTGACGAGGCGGGGGGAGAGGGGGGAGGGGGTGCAGGGGGGACAATGGTGGGGGGGGGGGAGAAGGGAAGGGGAGGGGAGAGGGGGTGGGGGGGGAATGGTGTCAGTCCAGAGGAAGGGACCGGTGGTTAGAGGGAGGGGGTTAGGGGCTTTGGGGGAGGTGTAGTACGGGTGGGCTTCATCGAATTCCACATCCCGACTACGAATGAGGCGACCAGAGGGGGGATGGAGGAAGAGATAGTCCGGGGAGGAGGTGTTGTGACCAAGGAAAATGCAGGGGAGAGTGCGGGAGGCTAGCTTTCCAGCTTTGCGTGAGCGGTCGGCAGGGTGTATGAGAACATACGCCATGGAACCCCACACGCGCAGGGGGGTGATGTCGGGCTTTTTGGATGTCCAGAGTGCGGTGGGAGTGGTGGTGGGCCGGGAGGGATGAGGGTACAAGTTAGTGAGGATGGCAGCGTGGAGGATGGCATAGCCCCAGAGAGAGGGCGGGCAGGAGGCATGGACCATGAGGCACCGAGCAGTTTTGGTGACCTCACGGACCCTACTCTCCGCCACGCCATTCTGCTGAGGGGAATGAGGTAGGGTGTGGGTGTGAATGATACCACGAGTGGTGCAGTAGGATGAGAGCATGTTGTTAAGGAACTCACCACCGCCATCAGAGTGGAAGCGGGAGACAGGCCGTTTGAAATGGGTGCGTGCTTGTTCAGCCCAAGCAATAATAGCAGCCGGGGCCTCCGCCTTCGTGCGAAGGAGGGAGACGGAGGAGTAGCGGCTGTGGTCATCCACCAGGATGAGCAGGTATTTATGACCTTGTCTGGTGGGGGAAGGGTTGGGGCCCCAGAGGTCCATGTGGACGAGATCAAGAGGCTGGGGAGAAAAGGAGGGATGACTCTTGTGGGGGGCCTGTTTCAGTTTGCTTTCGACGCATACTGAGCAGGGAGGGGAGGGTGATGGGGGGAGAGGGGGAAGGGTGAGGGGGAGTCCGTCGAGGAGTTGGGTGGAGACGGTTTGACGGAGGGTGGCAAAGTTGGGATGACCCAACCTGTGGTGAAGGAGAACTGCGGGGTGGGTGAGGTCACGACAGTGACAGGAGGAGGAGGAGGTGGGGGAGGGGGGGGGGAGGGGAGGGGAGGAGGGGGGAGGGGATGGGGGAGGGGATGGGAGGTGGGGAGGGAGGGGGGAGCGGAGGTGAGGGGAGGGGAAGGGGTGAGGTGGGGGCGATGAGGTGGTGAATGGAGGTGCGAGGGGTGCGGTACGTGTACAGATTTGTGCGAGGGCAGAGGGGAATGCGACAGATGAAGTGACCAGTGGTGGTTTGAAAGAGGTCGCAGTGGCGTGCATGACCGGGGAAGAGGGCGGTGATATTGAACCTGGTGAGGTCACACAGTGCTACCAGATTGTTGCGTAGGGAGGGGATGTATAGACCTGTGACTGTACCTGAGGGGAAGATGGGACAGGGGAGGGTGGAGGTGTGACTACTTGTGATGGTGAAGCTGGAGTCAGCTCCGTGGATAGTGGAGGGAGTGGGGAGGGGTACCAGTGTGCCTGCATCACGCAGAACAGTGTGTGTCGCGCCACTGTCAAGGATAAACTCAAGGCATGAAGAGGAGGAGGAAAAGGCGGAGTACTGGAAGAGAGACTCATTAATAGCATGTGCATACATAGAATCAGCAGGAGGAGTGCTAACATGTCCTATGAATCCAGCAGAGGGGAATGGAGTAAAGCCAGGAGGGTTGAAGGAGGAGGATGGTGGTTCAGCAGGAGTGGCAGCAGGTCCAATAGGTGCATGACCATATCCAGGAGGTGGGTAAGGAGGGTAAGGCCAGCCAGCATAGGGTGGAGGGTAGTGAGGGGGGGGGGCTTGAGGCGGAGGTGTGGATGGGGGAGGAGTGGGTGTGGTGGGAGTGGAGGGGAGAAGATGCTGAACTTGTTGAAGGATGTGAGATGGGAGATGCTGAGTGAGGACATTGTGAAGGTTGGGAGTAGAGGGCTGATATGCGGGGAGGGTGCGGATGTCATGAATGGAGGGGCGTGGGAAAACAGTGTTCCAGCGAGGTGGAGTGCCAACGTTGCCACGTGCAAACCACTCGTCCGTGAAGGCTTTGAAGCACGTGTCCGTGGTGTGAGTGGTCTGAGAGCATGGCTGACCTTTGTTGGAGCCATAGAGGATGATGTACTGACACGGGGGGAGGGTGCCTGAAGGTGAGGGATATCCGCCGCGTCCGCCACGGCCACCACTGCGACCACCACCGCGTCCTCCGCCTCGGCCGCCACCACGTCCACCACCACCACCACCGGCGCCACCTGGGCCGCCACCTGTTCCGCTGTTGTGGTTGCCTGTGGTAGCTTTGCGGGTCTGGACAGCATTGACGGTGGCGGAGTCACGTTGAATGTCCGCTTCGCTGTCAAGGAGCCACTCGATGGTGTCAGCCACAGGAGGAGGATGACGGTAGCGAGAGGTGAAGGTGATGCGGTAGGTGTCATATGTGGGAGGGAGGCAGTCAAGGATGCGTGCAGTAAGAAGGGACTCAGAGATGACAATGCCGCGGTCATTGAGGCGTTGCGCAGTGTCAATGAGGCGACGGGTGTAGGCAGCAGCAGTGGGGGAGGAGTCAAGGGTGATGTCTTGGAATTTGCGGAAAAGGGCGAGGAGGGAGCGAAGGTCCTGACGATCGTACTGAGTAGAGAGGGTTTTCCAGAGTCCAGAGGAGGAGGTGGGACGAAGGTCGCGTTTGAGGTGGGAGGGGATGCAGGAGAAGATGATGGCGAGTGCACGACGATCAGCAATGCGCCATGCTGCAACATCCTTGTGGATCTTGCGAAGCTCCTCAGCATAGTCTTTTTCGTGTTGAGCGTAGGAGAGGAGACGTGCAGTAGCATCAGCGTGTGCTGCTTCCGCAACACGGTGCGCCTCACGCTGGAGGGTGTAAGTGTCGCGAAGCCTGTTGTAAGTGTTCAGGTTGGCCCCCCAGCGATCCGGGTTGTCATCATGAACTGGGGCACGCGGGGGGTCGGGAAGAGGCTCGGGTGGAGGAGGGGCATCAGGGGGAGGAGGTTCAAGGGGAGGGGGGAGTACAGGTGGGAGGCCATTAGGGTGCTCGAGGACGACATCAAGAAGGCAATAATCTTGAATGATGACGGAGCCAAGGTGTGTGTGAAGCGTATCTTCAAACAACGCCCAGTTTACGGCCGTGGTGTCATGGAGAAGTTCGAGCTTGTCAATGGCTCCGAGCTCGATGGGAGTGGAGTCATCCGCCATGAGGAGGAGGAGGGGAGGGGGTGACGACACCGGCTTGAGGGCGGGTGCGGTCAAAGAGGACGACACCACTTGGAAGGGTGGTGCGGTCACGTAACGTATGGTGGCGCCGGGTTACTCGCAGCTGCGTTTGTGTCGCCCGTGATTGCGCCTCGTGGCCCGCGGGTGCGCGTCCGTCCGCGGATGCGCCTCGTCGCTCGCGGGTGTGCGTCCGCCCGCGGATGCGCCTCGTCGCCCGCGGGTGCGCGTCCGTCCGCGGATGCGCCTCGTCGCCCGCGGGTGCGCGTCCGTCCGCGGATGCGCTTCGTCGCCCGCGGGTGCGCGTCCGTCCGCGGATGCGCCTCGTCGCCCGCGGGAGCGCGTCCGTCCGCGGATGCGCCTCGTCGCCCACGGGTGCGCGTCCGTCCGCGGATGCGCCTCGTCGCCCGCGGGTGCGCGTCCGTCCGCGGATGCGCCTCGTTGCCCGCGGTTGCGCGTCCGTCCGCAGATGCGCCTCGTCGCCCGTGGGTGCGCGTCCGTCCGCGGATGCGCCTCGTCACCCGCGGTAGCGCGTCCGTCAGCGGAAATCCGCCGCGGTGGTCGCGTCCGCCCTCGTCGGCAGAATGCGCCGCGGTGGTCGCGTCCGCCCTCGTCGGCGGAATGCGCCGCGGTGGTCGCGTCCGCCCTGGTAGGCGGAATCCGCCGCGGTGGTTGCGTCCGCCCTCGTAGGCGGAATCCGCCGCGGTGGTCGCGTCCGCCCTCGTAGGCGGAATCCGCCGCGGTGGTCGCGTCCGCCCTCGTCGGCGGAATGCGCCGCGGTGGTCGCGTCCGCCCTCGTCGGCGAAATGCACCGCAGTGAGGGAGGAGAGGGGAGGGGGGAGGGAGCGGGCTGCCGATCGTAACTCGTGCGGGGGAGGCGCGGGAACGTGCGTGAGTGCAAGGGGGGAGGGGGGCCGTGAAGGCGTACTAGCGCAACTTAAGCGCGAGTGAGAGAGGGGGGCGTGATACGGCACGCGTTAAGTGTGGTTTTTAGGATCGAGAGACGGTGTTAACCGTTGTAGCTCTGATACCATGTGAGAAAACGAGAGGAGGAACCATTAAATTCATTAGGAGAGAGGGAGGTATACATAGTAGTGCTAGGGGGGGAGGGGTTGGTTGGGAACCAAGCCAACATTATTGGCCCCCACCAATAGGTTGGGTTGAGGGATGATTGGGGGGACCAATAATGTTGACCAAGTTGGTTCAACATTATTGGGGGGACCAATAATTCCCAACCCAACCTTGGGGCCAAGGTTGGAGTTCCAACCCCCAACTAGGGTTAGCCCTAGTTCTACACCCAAACTAAGTTTGGGTGGCTATCTCTAGCCTAAGCTTATAGGATTGATGTAGGTTATAATGAGGATGGTAATCTGACAAGCTGTTCTCCTCCAAAGCTCTGACATTGGAGGGACGGACAAGGGGGAATGGGCAGCAGATGTGCAAAGGGCGGCCAAGGGGGAATGAGGAGAAGCGCATTCTGAGGCGCCACGCCAACGCAAAACCTTCTAACACATGTTCTTCTCCAACGATCTGACACGAGAGAAAGATTATCGCAAAGATGGGCGCACGCACAGCAGCACACACGAGATTGATTATGTCGTTCAAAAGACTGGATGGTCTTCAAAACTCTCAGGCTCCCCACGCATCGAACAGAGTCAGTCAGATCCCAGCCTCTTCTACTGCCCCACTCTGAGCCTTCCACTACACGAGTCACCCCCTCTTACAGCTTGGTGAGTCCCACGAGGTTCCCAATGTCTTCTGGGATCTGCCCGTTGAGGTTGCACTCGCTCATCGTGCTGCAACAACAGGGGAGAGGGAGGGAGGGAGTGGGGGAAAGAGTGCATGTGAGGAAAGAGGAATGAGGGGGATGTTTAGAGGGATCTGCTCTGCTCATCGTGTTGCAACAGGAGAGAGGGAGGGAGGGAGGGGAGGGAGTGAGGGAGTGGGAGAAAGAGTGCATGCGAGGAAAGAGGAATGAGGGGGATGTTTAGAGGGATCTGCTCTGCTCATCGTGTTGCAACAGGAGAGAGGGAGGGAGGGAGGGGAGGGAGTGAGGGAGTGGGGGAAAGAGTGCATGCGAGGAAAGAGGAATGAGGGGGATGTTTAGAGGGATCTGCTCTGCTCATCGTGTTGCAACAGGAGAGAGGGAGGGAGGGAGGGAGGGAGTGAGGGAGTGGGGGAAAGAGTGCATGCGAGGAAAGAGGAATGAGGGGGATGTTTAGAGGGATCTGCTCTGCTCATCGTGTTGCAACAGGAGAGAGGGAGGGAGGGAGGGAGGGAGTGGGGAGAGGGAGGGAGGGAGTGGGGGAAAGGGTGCATGTGAGGAAAGAGGAATGAGGGGGATGTTTAGAGGGATCTGCTCTGCTCATCGTCCAGGAGAGAGGGAGGGAGGGAGGGGAGGGAGTGGGGGAAAGAGTGCATGTGAGGAAAGAGGATGTCTAGAGGGATCTGCTCTGCTCCTTAAGCATGCACTCGCTCAACATGCTGCAGCTACAGGGGAGAGGCGGAAGAGCACTCACAGGTCTTGCAGGGAGCTGAGAGCGGTGAGGGACGGTGGAATTGTGCTGTTGAGGTTTGCGTTGGTGCCCAGGTTGATCGACTGCAGGTTGGTTAGGCGTGCGAGAGTGCCGGGGATGGTGCCGTTCAGATCGTTGGCTGACAGGTCGCTGGGGTGGGGGTTGGGTATGGGGAAGGGGTGGAAGGGAGGGATGCGGGGGAAGGGGGAGGGGAGAGAGGGAGGGAGTGAGGGAGGTGGGGAGGGAGGGAGGGAGGGAGGGAGGGAGGGAGGGAGGGAGGGAGGGAGGGAGGGAGGGAGGAAGGGAGGGAGGGAGGGAGGGAGGGAGGGAGGAAGGAAGGGAGGGAGGGTGGGTGGGAGAGCTTAAAAAAACACAAACAAACAAACAAACAAAAAAAGGAGATTTGAAAAAATTCTTTAGAATCAGGTAACAGTGTGGACGAGGCTCACTCACAGGAATGTGAGCTTCTGAAAGAACTTTATTCGTGTAAGAATGTGGCCCGTTATCAGGTTGAATGACAGGTCTCCGCAAGTGACTTGTGATGTGAGACGTCTCAAAAGAATCCAATGCTTACAGGAACGTGAGCTGCTGACAGAACTTGATTCGTGTGGGAATGTTGCCTGTTATTAAGTTGAATGAGAGGTCCCTGTGTGCGGGGAGCCGCGCGACACAATGAGGGAGGGAGGGTGGGGAAATGAGAAACAAAAAGTTTAACCGTTCATGCCATTCACATGTGCTGCACTCGCAGGTTCTCAATGGTCCGGCTTTGAGGCGCTTCGACAGCATTCTATTGCCGGGGTAAAAAAAGAAAAAGGTATCTTCATTTCATGCATGCATTGATTAAGTTCTTTCTTTCTTGTTCCACTCACAGGTGCTGCAGGCCTCGCTCGCAGGTTCTCAATGGTCCGTTTTAGGTAACTTGAAAGGAATCTATAGCCTATGAACTTTGAATGCAGCCTGCTAAAAGGATCTCTATCTTGCTGCTCTTCCCCGATGAGTGAGGACCCGTGGGACCTCACATTCGTGTAAAGGAATCTATAGCCTATGAACTTTGAATGCAGCCACCACCATTCATTCCACTTACAGGTGCTGCAGGCCTCGCAGGTTCTCAATGGTCCGGGGAATCGTGCCAAAGAAGCGGTTGTTGGACAAATCACTGGAAGAATGAAGCATGGGGAGGAGAGCGGGGGGAGATGTGCGTGTGGAAGGGGGAAAGTGAGGAAGGGAGGTGCGGGGAAGAGGGAATTGTGCCAGTGCAGGTATAGGGAGGGGCTATGCTAAGCTTTCACCATTTCAAAATGGAAGAGCAAGCTAAACAGAAGACTTTTGAGTCGACTCAAAAGTCACCTCGTTTTGAGTCGACTCAAAAGGGAATTGTGCCAGTGCAGGTATAGGGAGGGGCTATGCTAAGCTTTCACCATTTCAAAATGGAAGTGCAAGCTAAACAGAATATGGACGGACACTAACTAGCAGTGTCTTCAGTACTGCGCAACAATACGATATATTATCGCTAAACACCAGATGCCGCATGTGGAAAAAACTCAGACTTAAAAGCAGTGCCTCGTCTAACACGCAACGATCACATCAACGTGTGTGTTAACCACTCTGGTTCGCGTTGTGGGATGTGCGAACCTTTATCTTCTGGACAGGCAATAGCACTGTTCCAATGGAGCCCCAGATAAGAGCCATGTCTTTACGTGGCAGCGACTGATTCAACTGTAAAAATTGTTGCTAGTTAATAAGTTTGCTTGAAGTCTCTTGTAGAGAAATCGTTTGGCGGTAAAAAGTTTTTTTTTTGGCGGTACCTTTATCTTCTGGACAGGCAATAGCAGTGTTCCTTCGGCATACGAGCCTCCCTTGGACACTCCAGGTCTCAAATTCCACTTTCAGGGTGCTGCTGGAAACCACATCATCTTCTCTTGCTTGCTGAACTCACATCCTCTCTATCTTCAGGAGCTTTCCCAGCTTGGTCGACAGCGGCCCTGACAGGCGCATCTAGACACCCAATCTGGGCTCACATCTGGTCTCACTCACTGTACTCATACATTAGAACACTATCTAGACTCACATTTTCTCAATCTTCAGGAGCTTTCCCAGCTTGGTCGACAGCGGCCCTGACAGGCGCATGCCGGACAGTTCCCTGAGGAGGAGAGGATTGGGGGATGAAGGAGGAAACTTTGTTGAGAGAGCGGCCCTGACAGGCGCATGCCGGAAAGTTCTCTGGGGAGGAGAGGATTGGGGGAGGAAGGAGGAAACTTTGTTGCGAGAGTGGCCCTGACAGGCGCATGCCGGAAAGCTCTCTGGGGAGGGAAGGAACAGGGAAACGGACAAAAAGGGAGCAAGCAAGGAATGTTTCCCAACAGGTCACGCCCCTCCACTTCCACTCACTCTTCTTGCTCTCTTGCCCTCACTCTTTCCTCATTCATTTCCTTTCACTCGTCTCATTCACCTACTCTCAGCCTTCTTACTCACAATTCCTTCTCTTCCCTCACTCTCTCCCGTCACTCACAGCTCTTTGATTGACATAGTGCAGTTGGTGCAGGTGACACTCCTCCCTCCACCACTGCCCTGGTTCTTCTCCACTCACTTCCGTTCCCTTCGCTCTTCTCACGCATTCCAGCCTCACTCCCCTCATTCACAACGCTTTGACTTTTGAGTCGACTCAAAAGTCACTCACATCCCTTCCTTTCACTCTTCTCACACACACTCTCCAGCCAGCCCCACTTCCCTCATCCACAACGCTTTCACCCAGAGCTTCTCGGAGCTGCCTGCGGCGCGGGTAACAACAACCCTCCACTGCGGCACTGCCCCAGGCACGGTCCTCCCCCTACCACGTCTGCAGAGCTGAAGTGCCCGTTTGACCCCTCTGCAATCGCGCAGTGCAAATGACGCTGCTTCAATCCCCCTCACTCCTCTCACTCACTCCCCCTACTCACAGCGCTTTGATGCAGAGCTTTTCTGAGCTGTCTCCAGTGCGATCGGTGCAGGTGACGACCCTCCACTGCCCCTTGCTCTTCACCTCTCACTTTCCCTCATTTTTCTGATTCACTCCAGTCCCAGTTTCCCCCACTCACAGCGCTTTGATGTAGAGCTTCTCTGAGCTGTCTCCAGTGCGGTCGGTGCACTTGACGCCCCTCCACTGCCCTGGCTCTTTTCCACTCACTTCCCTTCATTTCTCTCAACTCAATCACTCCAGCCCAACCTCCCCCCACTCACAGCGCTTTGATATAGAGCTTTTCAGAGCTGTCTCCAGTGCGATCGGTGCAGGTGACGCCCCTCCACTGCCCCAGGCACGGGTCCTCCCCCTGCCACGTCTGCAGGGCTGCGGGGCTGCCCCACGCCTTGCGCATCGCAATCAGTGCATCAACTACGTGGGGGAAGAGAGGGGGGAGGGGGGAGTTGGTGAGGCTGTCTGTCTGCCATGTGAAGGTGGTGTGCAGGGCTGCGAGGCTGCCCCACGCCTTGCGCATCGCAACCAGCGCATTAACTTCAGGACAGAGAAGAGGGTGGATTGAAGGAGCGGGGAAGGGGGGAAAGAGGGTAGAAATTTCTGCCACGTCTGCAGGGCTGCCGGGCTGCCCCACGCCTTGCGCATCGCAATCGTCGCAATCACGACTGTGGGAAAGAGGGTGTCGATGAGATGAGAGGGAAGGTTTGTTGAGTCGACTCAACGTACACTTCGCTGGAAACCGCCCGTGCCAATGAAAGACGAGCACCTTCTATGTATAAACACAAGCGACTCATAACGGGGGTTGCTTATAACGGTTAGCATAAGTCCAACCGACTCTGATACATCTCGAAACTCGCCAGTATTGGCACGAGACGAGCCTGCCAGACCATGTCCCCGTTCCCGGGCACTGTTCACGCAGCGTTTGAGTTGAACGCGCGCCAGAATAAAGAAAGGTCGAATTTCTGGGTGCACAATGTAGGATATTTTTTGCGGACTCTGGAAACCGCCTAAAGCTGCGAAACGCTGGACTTTTAGCTGCCCAGTGAAGTTTAAAACGGGACAGAAACGCTAAGCCGTTCACGCTAACCTCAGTCATCGAGAAACTAAGGCGAATGTTTGAGCAGCGTACGCCCGTCCGACTACGTCGCACCCATTGACACTCCCTCGCTGAACCGATCGACCCTCGCGCCGTATGGGGATACTATAGGCTACATTCTTGACGGGGTAGTAGGGCTGAAACACTACCTTCGCGATGTTCAAATGGGCGCCGACCGTGATGCTGCTTTGCGACGTCACGAAACTCAAGTATTCGAGGCTAAGGGCGTCGTACGGTCGAAGTGCTACCTTTGAGACGCCTCAAAAACTCGAATATATCAGGCTAAAACGGCGTCGTTCTGCTGAAACGCTACCTCCGTCATGTCTCAAACCTCGAATATGTCATACTAAAGGGCGTCGTAATGTCGCAATGTTACCTTTCCGATGCCACGAAGGTACGTTAGGTCAAACGGCCGTCGTACGGTCGAAACGCTATCGTGCTGGGCTAAAGTGGACATGTCAGTCAAAGTGGACCACGAATGAGCAAAGGGACTCACCGTCCCATTTGTGCACCGTTCGATGCTGCGCGACCGCTCCCGAGGTCCACAACCCTAGAATCTGCAACGACAGCAGCAGCGCGGCGGCCAAAGGGAGAAGCGCGCCGAGCCGAAAGGCCGGTGACATTGCTTGGCGCCAACACCACATTGGAGCTAGACTTAGTTTGTGCGTGTTAAACTAGGTCCTAAATAGTCGTATCGGAGCTCAGAAACGTCTGCGACCTCCTATTCCCGGTCTGCTGACGATCGCGTCGCGCTTTCCTTGCAAACTCTGACTTCTAGCACGTCAACCTTATGCGTTGACGAGCCGAGAGAAGAATACGAGCGCTCCTAAAACGGCAGAAGCATGAGAGCTATCCTTCTCTTTTCCGGTGCCTGGTGACGCATAGTCAGCAGCAGACCAGCATCACGGATACACGGCCATTGCCGACACCTGATAGGAAAGGACCACAACGATGATGGTGGAATCTAGGACTTCCAAAGCAGAGGTGACGAAATCACCTGACCAACTACACACACTAATTCACTTTCCTGGGTTGCGGGAAGCAGCAGGTCATTTTCGTTCGTTTGAATGCGGCTAAGTAAGATGCTTCACGCTTTACAGCGTTCCAGAAATTTTCCAGTAATTTGCCCAGTGAGGGCTGGGCAAATATGAAATGAAATGACCCGCCCTCACAGTAGGAACTACCGCCCGGCTGTACGGCCTTTGAATCACCGAGTTTGGGACCAGATCGAGGGCCAGTAGGGTGCTGGCTCTTTCCATTGAACGGTGCAAACTCATCATCCCTGTGTGGAGATACAGGAAGCGGAAAGGGGGAGGGGGCGGAAGAGGCGGGCGGCGGAAAGGGAGAGCGAGGACATGAAGCGCGTGCTCAAAATTTCAAAGAGCCCGTAGCAGTCGACTTCTGAGGGTTGTTACAAGACTGGTGTTGAAAGAAGAGTTGAAAATGTATTAGACACAATCCTGCTTGGCAGGAGACAAATTCCACAACGACTCTCAACTTGCAACTTCGTACGCTCTCTGAACGACAACTGCACCCGAGATTCGTGAAGTCAGGCCTGAAGAATTCGGAAGCGTGTTTCTTTCTTGGGACCATGAAAGGCGACCCAATTCCGGCGTTTTCGGGAAACTAAGATGCTGGAGGAGCACCTGCGGAGATGATACCGCGAACGTAGGGTGACTGACGCGTTTTGATTACTATCTACATTTCTTTCTATCATTGATTCCATATCCACAATGACCTTACCATTCAGAGTTTGCTAATATTTGATCTACAGCACAACGATGCCACTTAAACCTGATAGCCAATTCTTAAGGCATTGTTAAGAATGAGGAATGAAGAAGAGAGGAGGTTGCACTAGCAGCAGTTGGCATACATATAGGAAACCCTAATTGGGTTGTACTCGCTATAGAGTACCCCATTGCAGGCTAGACAATTATAACAATCTGACACACCCCCACAGCCAAAGTGGGGTGTTATCAGCACAATGAGCAAGCAGGCATAGAGCAGGAGTTCACAATAGGGAGCAAAGCTAGAGTTAATCACAGCGGGCAAGTGAGGAGGAGGAGGAACTGTGGAGGGAGAGAAGATGGGAGGCACGGACACAGGAGCGGCTGACTCAGTGGCTACTAAAGCAAGGGCGACGGACTACTGGAGTAACTGGCTCCGCGGCTATAGATGAGCGGCAGGAGCAACGGACCCACTGGCGACTGGTGCAAGAGGCTCACTGGCTACCGAAGCAAGGGCGACGGACTACAGGCGCTGCAGGCGACACGACAGCTACCTTCACACAACCTCCTCCAGCTGCCCCACACCTCTCGACACACACCCCCTGCTCAAACCCTAGTTCTACTCCCACAGCAACCCCCCTTTCACACAACCCCTGCTGCACCGTAGGTTCACTCACACCCCACCCCCTAGCACCACTCCGTCGACTCCCACACACCCGCCCCCCTCAGCGGCAACTGCAGCAGTGGGAGACAGAGGAGGAGGAGGAGCAGGGGAGACCACACACCCGCCACCCCCTACTCGCCACCCCCAAACCCTAACACAGGGCAGGGCCGGGCGACGGGTAGGGAGGTTACGGAGGGGGGGGGGGGAGCCGACCCGCGGCCTCCCAGGGCGCCAAAACAGGCGCCAGAAGGGGGGACGCTCGCCCCCCCCCCCCCCCCCCCCCCCCCCCCCCCCCCCCCCCCCCCCCCCCCCCAAGGTCGCGCGGCCCCCTCAGGTCGCCTCGACAGGCGACGGGAAAAGAGGGGGGGGCGGTGCACGTGCCTCCGGTGCACTGCGACAGGCGACGGAGCATGGCTAGGGCGGGGCTGGGGCAGGGTCGAGGCAGGGCTGAAAGGGGCGGCGACAGGGCCGCTGGAGGGGCGGCGACGGGGCCGCTGGAGGCGGCGACGGGGCCGATAGGGGCGGCGACGGGGCCAGGAAGGGGCCGCGAGGGGCCTGGAAGGGCGGCGACGGGCCGCTAGGGGTGGCGACGAGGCCGCGAAGGGGCCGCGAGGGGCCTGAAAGGTCGGCGACGGGGCCGCGAAGGGGCCGCGAGGGGGCCGGTGGAGGCGGCGACGGGGCCGATAGGGGCGGCGACGGGGCCGCGAGGGGTCTGGAAGGGCGGCGACGGGCCGCTAGGGGCAGCGACAGGGCCGTGAAGGGGTCGCGAGGGGCCGAGAAGGGCGGCGACGGGGCCGCGAGGGGCCGAGAAGGGCGGCGACGGGGCCGTTAAGGGCGGCGACGGGGCCGCGAGGGGCCTGTAAGGGCGGCAACGGGGCTGCAAAGGGGGTTTAGGTGGGGCGTGCAGCACACAGAGTAGCAGCGGAAGCAGTTAAGTGGGCCCACAGGCCAAGAACGTAGATGCTCTGATAGCATGTTAAGAATGAGGAACGAAGAAGAGAGGAGGTTGCACTAGCTGCAATTGGCGTACATATAGGAAACCATAATTGGGTTGTACTCGCTATAGAGTACCCCACTCCAGGCTAGAGAATTATAACATTCTGACAGGCATACATCAGTATCTCATTATGTATGAACCCCTCTATGCTCATGTTACGAATAGAAGTGTAACAACATTAATGTGCACTCCCGACCGCAACTAAGGAAGCATGCATTATCGAGAACGAATGAGAAGAGTCAGAATTGACTCGAAGTGTCACACAGTTGGGACGCATCTGGACCATCGGAGCAGAAGGCATCGGGCAGCTACAGGCAGAAGGATTCTGGTGGGAACAGTTTCGTAACCGTACGCGCCGCACGGTTGGGAATGAACCTGAATAAGGGAATGTACCCCTTAGATTATATGGATAGCTAGGACGATCCGAATTCTCCCGTACTCTTATTTGTTTCGTTGTATTTGCATGTTTTTGTCGTCTCAAACATTTTACATTCACTCTGCTATTGAGGTCAAGGGCCCACCACCACTAGACTAGAAGTGTGCGAACCTTCATGAGGTGATCCTGGTCACGATCTGTTTCTGATCGCAGCATGGTATGAGAGCGACTCAGGAATCCTTCGCACTGCCATCTCCAAAATTTGTGACATTCGGAAAGTGGTGTCCGTCACACGATCGCGTGTAAGAATGGCCAGAGGATCTGGAGGTCAGACGAATCTGACGGCTGAAGCGCAGCCCAACCCGGCTGCAACAAGCGAGGAAACGACGACAATCCCTTCCGCCGTCCTCGCACAATTGCTTCAACGACTCACGAGCCTAGAGCAAGGGCTCCAAACATTGCGGAATGGCGACGCGGGAACTTCATCCCAACCCACTCAACCGACCTCAAACGGCCAGAACTCTGCCCCGCAAGGCTTCTCTCTTGACACAAATGGCTCAACACCCAAGACTCCCTATCCCAGCGATGAAGCAATTGTCTCTTTGCAATCAAGGTTTCTGAGCATATCAAAAATAAAGACAAAGTGTGTGCTTTGGCGGCAAAGACTTCTATACTTGGAGCTTCGAGCTCGAGCTGGTGCTGCAAAACGCGCAAATTTTCACTACTTCGACGGGAGCTACTCGGGACCTACGGAGGACACTGAAGACGCACGAACCAAGTATTACAACGAGTCTCTGATGGCGTACGGGGTTCTTCTGCTGAATATGTCGCCAACGGAGCAATTGAGCATTCGCTCATACAAAACCTCGTCTGCTCCAGCCCTGGACGCCTGACGTCACCTGAACGGTGTGTATCAACCAAAGGACTCAGTGTCGTCGAGCCGCCTTCTCCAGCAGCTACTATAGACAAAGATGGCACCAGGAGAGAAGACCAACAGTTACCTGAATCGCTGTCGGAGCTTACGCGATCAAATCGCGAAACTTGGGAGCACAATCTCTAAGGAGATCTTCGTGAACATCGTGCTCCAAGGGCTCAGCCCAGAGTGGTGGCCCTGCAAGGTGCTTATCCGACAGCAGGGGGTCATCTCGGAGGCCGCCCTTTGCGCCGCCCTTCTCGTCGAACAATGGGATATGGATCAGCAGCGACCAGCGCCACGACGAGAACGAGAACGGCTCGCCTTCTACGTCGACAACAACGAAGAGCAAAGGCCGTGACACCTCTACTGCAAAATCTGCAGAAATTTTGGGCACCTGGCGGATCGATGTAAATTCCGATCTCGCCCTCGTTAGACCAATCCGAGCAACTGGTTCGGCCGACAAGATGCACTAGGCGACGTGCGTCCAGCCCAGGGGTATCAACCCCCATCGCGCAACCTGAACCCGACAGTTCAGCAGCAGCAGCAGCCTTCGCAGGCTGCCCCTGTCCGCAATGTCATGGGGAACATGACCATGACGAGCGGATCTCGTCGCCCGCGCGCGCGCTTTTCGTCACCCGAGCCGGCGCCTGACCCTATCGGAGCGTTCTTGAACAACAACCCGTTCAGTACGCGTCACGACTTCAGCGACGACGACACCCAGGACTGGAATCTCCCAGTCCCGCTACTTGAGAGCCCCCCCGCAAGTACTAGACATGCGACCGGCACCGATCGATTGGATCGCGCACGAACAGTTTCTCAAAGTTGACACTCCACACATCGTCACTCCGCAACTGGTGCTGCTCGCGCGAAACGACAACAGGCGCTACAACACGTGGTACCTGGATAGCTGCTGTGGGCAACACATGGTGGGCTCTAAGCGTTA